CTTTTGGAAATGATTGGATATACAGATTCTGATTGGGCTGGTTGTGAGGATACAAGAAAATCTACTCCAGGATATATTTTTCTACTTGCTGGAGGTGCAATATCCTAGAAAAGTATGAAACAAAGTTTAGTTGCATCTTCGACGATGGAAGCAGAATTTATAGGTTGCTACGAGGCATTATCACTGGCATCATGGTTGAGGGATTTTGTTGCGGAGCTTAAAGTGGTTGATTTCATTTCAAAACCATTGCTTATTTATTGTGACTACACCTCTGCGGTTACATTTGCTAACAACAATAAAAGCGGAAGTCGATCGAAATACATTGACATCAAGTTTCTTAAGGCTAAAGGTCGAGTTCATGATCACATTGTTAAGTTTGAACACACAAGAACAGAGTTCATGATTGCTGACCCATTGACTAAAGCTATTCCAGTCATTACATTTAAGGGACATGTAAGCAACATGGGGCTCGTTAATGTTTAAGTGTTAGTTGTGTTTTATGTCTAGACATATTTGATGTTGTTAGTGTTTTATATTCATGACGAATAAAGTGTACACATTATGTTTAAGTCAAGTGTTCATTGCTATTTAAGCATATAAAGTGTGACTCAAAATATTTTGAATTATAATAATTTGAAATAATTTGACAAAATTTACAATTGTTTGGCCATAAAGTATAGTTGCTATATTGTTATGCCATTAGAATATTAATAGAATATTTGAGTCTAGTGGGAGAATGTTAGAATATTGACTCTTCATATTCTATTATATGTCATTGATATCAATTTAAATTTGAATTTTAAATTTAACTACTTTGGTAGTTTTAAGACATAACTACATTAGGTAGTTATGAACTCCATGATAGTGGGAGTTCAGGGAGTCACATGTCCACACACAAATAATAATGATCAATGAATGATCAATGAATAAAGTCCTGTGATAATAATCTATCAATTTCGGTTTTGTAATGTGGAGTGGACAAGGAAGAACAATTATCGGTAATTCAGTATTTATTACATTCAACAATGGAAGAAGGTATCCACAATCTAATTCAATCTTGCTTTAGTATGTAAACGAGTATTAATTTCTGTTAATCATGCTATAAGATTTCTATCACATGTTACTAATTTAAACTACCAAATCTTGCTTTAATTTAATGACCTAATTTATATCATGTTCATAATTTTTTTAATTCGTTTTAATTATTATAATTAAAAAAATATCTAAAATAATACTAAAATTTTAGTAAATTTTAAATTACCAAATATGAGAAAATTTGACTCATATTTTTTAAATAATATTGAAATTATAGTTTTCACCCAAATAATTTTTTTAATGAATTTACAGAATGTAATTTTATTTGTATCATTTTTATAAGAAACTTTTATTTTCCAAAAGATTCATCTGGATTTTATTTTGTTTTTGGATAGTTTTTAAAATATATTTTTAGTTATTTAAAATATTTATATAATTAAAATAATCCTAAAATTTAAAATTTTTTGATCAAAATATTTTAGTTTTCGAATTTGAAATTGTAATTAGAATTTTTCATTTTTTCATGTTTATATAACTGTGAAAATTTGATCTGTATTTCTTAAATATCTCTGAAATCAAAATTTTTACCAAAATAATTTAGTTGCTGAATTTATGATTTTAATTGTTGGATTTTTGTAAGCAACTTTTGAATTAAATAATTCTAAAATTTTAGTAAATTTCAAATTACCAAATTTTACTTTAATTCATGTTCACAAATTTTCATAATATTTAAAATTGTTTTAATTTTAAAATATTTTTGAAACAATAAAAAATTTTAAATTACTAAATTAATCTTATCAAATATAAGTTATCTATTCAAACTACCAAGTCTAATTTTAATTCAAGTACCTAATTTAGACATATTCACAAATTTTCAAATTATTACAAATTATAATAATTCAAAATATATCTAAAATAATACTAAAATTTTAGTAAGCTTCAAATTTCCAAAACTATGTAAAATTTAACTCATATTTTTTAAATAATATTCAAATTATATTTTTTACCCAAATAATATTTCCGAATTTACATAATAAAATTTGAATTCTTTTCATTTTTATATAATTGAAAATTTTCATTTTACTAATTTCCAAATCTAATTTGGAATTTATTCTGTTTTTAGATAGTTATGAAAATATATTTTCAGTTATTTAAATTATTCCTATAATTAAAATAATCTTGCAATTTTAATTTTTAATCAAAATAATTTGGTTTCAGAATTTGAAATTTTTAATTCATTTTTATATAACTGTGAAATTTTAATTTATATTTTTCAAAATATTTTTGAAATTAAAATTTTTACCAAATAATTTAGTTAAAATTTATATCAACAACTTTTGATTTCATGATTTTAGTTACCGAATTTATGTCAACAACTTTTCAATTAAATAATATTCGAATTTTAGCAAATTTTGAAGTACTAAATCTTACCCTAATTTAACTACCTACTTTAGACCGTGTTATAAATTTTTCAAATTATTTTAATTTTTAAATATTTCTAAAATAATGTCAAAATTTTACCAATTCGCAAGTTGCCAATTTAAACTATCAAATCTTACTTTAATTAAACTACTCAATTTAGATTATATTCATAATTTTTCAAATTATTATAATTAAAAATATATCTAAAATAATATCAAACTTTTAGTAAATTTCAAATTACCGAATTAATTTTACTAAATAGAAGCTACAAATTTAAACCACGAGATCGTACTTTAATTTAGTTTTATAATTTAGATTGCATTGTAAATTTTGTCAAATTATTTCAAATTATTATAATTCAAAATATTTTTAGAAATAATACCAAAATTAAAATAAATTTAAATTACCAAATTAAATTCATTAAATATAATTTATCAATTTATACAACAAAATCTTACTTTAATTTAACTACCTAATTTAGATTGTGTTCACAATTGTGAAATTTTAATACATATTTCTCTAAATAATACTGAAGTGATTACTTTTGCCCGAATAATTTGTTTGCCAAAATTTTAAATTTTAATTTGGTTTTTTCCATTTTTATATGGTTGGAAATTTTTATTTTCCAAAATTTTAATTTTAATTCGATTTTATTCCATTTTTAGAGAGTTGTGAAAATATGTTTTTGGTTACTTAAAATATTTCTATAAATTAAAATAATCTTAAAATTTAAATTCTTAGCCAAAATAATTTAGTTTTTAAATTTGGAATTTTAACAGGAATTTTTTATTTTTTATATAATTATTAAAATTTAGTTCTTATTTTCAAAATATTTCTAAAATTAAAACGTTTTCCTTATTAATTTGGTGTATTTAATGTTTATTAACTTCATAATGATTTTATTATTTAATGTTGTATTATGAAAATGAAATTATATTATTTATCATTTATTTACATAATTATTTAATGTTTCATAAAAATGTAATTTACAATATTTAAAATTAAATATTGTTCTACGAATTTATTATATTTATTTATTTATTTAAATTTGTATTATGAAACTAAAGTTAACTATTTAGTTACTGATTTATTAAATTATTATTTATTTATTTTTTATATATTATTATGCAACAGAATTTAAGAGGTTTAAAATTTTAAGTATTTATTTTTGGTTTTGTTATTCATTAATATATTTTAATATAAAAAATTTTAATGTTAAATTTGCTAAATAAATATGTTTTTTATTTTGCAAGAATGGACAAAGAACTATTCTTTCAACTTTGAAAAAGAGGATTAAGATGGAGAAAAGATAATTAAAAAGTATTGAAGCTTTTCTTAATGTTTTGCTTATTAGATCCTATTATTGGTTGAGAATTTTTTTGGTGATGCATCATTTGTGAGTAATATTTTTGAACATTAAACCATTTTATATCTTAATTTCATTCGAGTTATATTTACGTGTATGCTTTGATTATGTTTATTTTATTTATTTATTATGAAAAAAGTTGTCTCAATGGTCTTATTTTTAAATTGTTCATTATCGTTATTTTTAGGTGGGGACATGTTCATTAACCTCAATAGGAGTGGGGAACCGTATGCTTTGAAAGGGATTAAGTTGTTAAATCTTTATAATTATAATTGGATAAGAATGATTGAAACACGATGAAATATAGATGAATTGTGATAAAAATACTAATATTATTTAGATTAATAATCAATAGAGCAACTTGTTAGGGATCCATATCCTGAAAAAAGGGAAAAGAGGGGGGAAACTTTCCGCGCGTAGAAATTTTAGATAGATTTCCTGGCGGCTATCGTGAAGCTATTTCCATAACCACTCACTTTCAGGTTTGGTATTAAAAACAGACTCCAGGGCCCACCATGACAGAATTAGATTCCACGTGGCGCATTTATACAATCCTACGTAAAAAATCAAATGAGGAACTTGGGCCCATCTTTAGCTCATTTAGGCGTTCATTATCCCAATTCTCTGTCACTCTCGGCAACTTACGTTTATAAAAAAGGATTTTATATATTTGATTTTTTAAAATCAACCCCTCACATATTTGAATTTGCTACTTGGTCTTCCGGTCTTATGTGTTTTTTCAAATCAGTCTCCCCATTTGGGCTTCTGTCTAATGTGCTAAAGCTGATTAATTTTTGTAAGGATCAGTTTTAAAAAGCTCAAAGTTTGAGGCTTCATAGTAACCCTGATTGAGTTGTTACCTAAACATGGATGTTCGTTTATCATTTTACCCTCGTTGAATGTATATCTGTCAGATTTATGAGAGAAGATAGCCTTATAGTTAAAGTGAGAAGCTAGCCATCGGGGAAGAAAAATATTTTATTGAGTATGAAATATAAACTGATTTACCGTGTAGTGAGTTCCATTTAAACCGACATAGATAAACATGGTAGCGAGCCAGAGGATCTAATTTTAAAGAATTTATTATATGGAGGCCTAATAGAAATTCGAATAATGAAGGGGGCTAAGTTAAAAATATTAAATATTTAACTGACTAATATTGAAATCCTTTCTAAAAAGCCAGGGCAAGGAAAAGGCGTGGCAAACTAGCAATGGTAGCGCAGCGTACGATAGCGGAAACCAGAGAGCGAGCTGAAATCCACTAAAATGCGCTGAATCGTCCCCGTGATCTGGGGATCTCTCGAAGCTCGAAAACCCTAGTTTTATGTGGATGATGTGGGGAGAAGGGGGGAGATTCTATTGGGGGACGAGCGAGAAGGAGAGGAGAGAGAGGGAATCCAATGGCGTCGTGGTAATTTTTGCGTGGTTGTCGAGCCAAGAGAGGAACTTGAAGCCCTTCATTGATCTCTACTCGTCTCTTGGATGGATCTCTTTTGTTTGCCATTCTGATTTCCTCACTCTGTAATTATTCTGTTCTTTGCGTTTTCAAAATTATTGAATTTTCTGTGATTATTGTTCCTTTTGTTTATTATAATAAGTTAAAATTGGTAAGTTTTGGTTCAATTCTAAGCTAAAGATGGGATATTTAGTCTATTGCCTTTGAAATATTTGCAAATATTTTTGTGTATTATTTTGGGGGTTTTATATGTTCATGTTGTGGAGTAGTTGAACTTTTGAAAGGATAATTGAAAGGATAATTCATGTAGTGGAAATTATATTCTTGAGTATTATCAATCAGCTAATTGAAAGGATAATTCATTAACGCAAGGCCAAAGTCAGAGTGCTTATATCTCTGTAGTGAAATATTTATTTGTTAGTTGCAGAATATGCAGCAGATTAATTTAAACCATAAGCTTCATTAGATAATAACCTTTTACCTTAATGCTTGGAAAAGAATGAGATTTTCTGTTTAACAGTTTTTAGTATTTCTTTGCTGAGAATAATGAGAGAACAATATGAAAGAGTACTTGAAAGTAAATGATTGAAGGGCAAATATTTTGTTTAACAAACACTGAAATATGGTATGGAAAAAACATTCCCTCTTGAAGAAAGGTAAATAGTTCAAGGGTAAGCCTGGAGATTTCATTAGCTGATTGATAATACTCAAGAATATAATTTCCCGTGGAATAAAGTTGAGTAACCCTCACAGGAAGGATTGCCCTTCCAAGTGAGGGTGGAGTGTCCACAAGCAACTACGAGCTTTCAGAGCTGATGAATGAGCAGAGAATCAAATATTATACATGTGGATCTCAGACTGAGATTGAATGTGATGTTCGTTTCCCTATTTGTTGAATTGTGAGGATTTTATCAACTTTAACATAAAATCAAAGAGAATCCATGATTTGATCTTCAGTGCACAATTGGCTGGAGTAAGAGAGGAGACTCATTAGTATCCTAACAGTTCAACTCAAGAGAACCTTAAGTTTTCAAGCAAACTTACTGGGAATAGGGCTGTGATTCTCGACAAATTGATTGACTTGTAAGCAAAAGCTAAGCCTTATAATGATTACAGCCGGATGTCAAGACCGGGACTGATAAACTTAACGGTCAGTTTTAGGTCCAGGCACATACAGTTCTGATGACAGATAGAGATAGGCAATCCAGTAATAAATTATGTATGTGTATAAGATGAATTGAAAATTGCTCTCTATGTCTCTACACATATTTTTTGTTTCTCTAAACAATATATTGGGTTTTGATCGACATCAGCAAGCTTTAACTACGCAACATTTGATATTTATTTTAAATGATTTGAGATTACTTTCTATTGCATAAGTTACTAAGTAGGCAACGTGTAGCTATGCATCCCATATATATTTGTTGGTTTTTTTCATATGGAGAATATGACTTTACCTTATCCTTTTAATTCCCTAAAATTATATAATACTTTGGAAGCTACTCACAAGATTTATATCCTCTCCTGAAATAATCACCAATAGTATCTTTTGTATTATAATTTCCTCAGTTCACTACTGTTACCCAGCTGATCTATGGCATGCTAGTCATGATTAAGGAGTCTTTTCCTTCTCAATGCTGACATTTTAGATTTATCTGCTCATGCGTTTTCTTGTTCACTTTGTTCCTTGTACAAATATGGAAACACAAACATGGAGATATTTTGAGGCCAAGAATTCTAAAAAATACACTCAAACATGTGTCTGACCAGGATGTAGGGGTGGAAACAAATCGAATTGAATCAAACACTTGTATTCAAATTTGAATCCAGTCACTTTTACCGAATTCGAATTCAAAAGTCAAATAGTGTTTTCATATTCGTATTCCGCTCGATGTTATATTGTGTTGTTCGCTATATATTTGCAGATGTTCGTTAGAGCAGCTGCTTTGATCCAAATCTTTCAGCTGTGTGGACCGGATTTGAACCCTCTTGGCAATCATTTTGTTTTCTATTTTTCATTTGAAATTTTTTCACATAAACCCTCCACTTTTTTTTATATATTATTGAATTTGAATAAACTTGTCCTTTAAATTAGTAAGCCTTAATCACATAATTTTGCAAACTTTATATGATGAATAAAGTTGTAGTAAATTAGATTTATTAGACTAAGATGGCAAACATAAACGAATATTTAATAATCAAATGAATTGAATATGTATCTACGTAAATTTATTCATTTATTATGTAAATTTATTCATTTTAAGTCGAATACTAAACATATTCGTTTACTGTTAAATGAGCTTCCAAATCGAATATAACAGAAATACTTAGACGAACATATGACGAACTATTTGATAATTATTTGGTTCAATTCTAACCCTCGCAAATCATGACTTCATGTAGAAGTGGTTGTGTTGCATACGTTTTATTAGATGTTACCATATGGTCTAGTGTTTTTCGTTTGTTGCTAGTACATGCTGATCTATCTTATTGAAATGATTTCTGTTAAAGACATCTTATTAGTTTGTAAATTCATTTGCTATGCAGTTTTTTCCCAGACAAAGCCGCATCACTTGCCTGCGGCGTTCTTAATGAGATTGTTAAGGTTAGTATTATTGATATTTAGTTGCTTGAATTTTAGCTACATTTGAAATTATATCTTGATGTTGTAATTTAAAGAAGAAGTGGTGGTTGCTTAATAGTTTTACTTCATTTCGTGTTCCATAATTTCCATGGATATATTAAGTGTACATATCTCAAGACCTGGTGTCTGCTGCTGATTTATCTGTAATCTTTGGACCTAGCTGTGAAAAATATAGGGCAAATTAACAGAGATGCCGAGTATACTTTATTCAGTTGTGGTTAGAGTTAGATATCCTTTGGGAGGTTATTGAGTTTTGCTCTGAAACAATCTTGATGGCTGGTACATAGACACTTTCCTGGTTCTTGACTTTAAAACTACCCTAATGACATTTAACAAGCTATGTTAGCATCATCTCCATTTTCCAAAAGAATGTTATTACTAGTCTTTTTCTAACATCCTCTTTATTTTCTTGGAGCAACAGGAAGTAAAGATTAGATCTTTGCCAATTGTATTTGCATCTTTTTCTGGGGGACCCAAGGGCTGTTTATACAAGGTTCTTCAGGTGATTTGATTTCTGAACCTATCGCTTTTTATTTGAACATTTTCAATGTGCCACCAAGGAACATTGTAGGCACCAAGGAACATCGGGTGCCTACTTTCTATTTTACAAAGAAGACTGAACTGTGCATTTGTCATTTTTTCAGCTGATGGAGGGGAAATGCCAAGGACAACCAAGTCTGGTACACTTATGTTCTGCTCATGTTTTTATAGTGGCAACTATTGTTTCATGGGTTCGCCTTACAGTGACACACATTTGATCACTAAATAATAATTACATTTTATTCCCATGTTGCTATAAATTTTACATTTACAATAGCGGAACATAATTATTTAGTAATATCATGTATATGACTTGCGTTGTAGATGCATTCTTTTCTAACTCCGCTTATCTGTTCAATGTTATAACATCAAGTTTTGCTCATTAAACTTTTGCTTACACTAGTTCTGTGAAGATAACCAAATAATTGGTGGATGATGCTATCAAAAGTCTATGCAACCTTCAACTTACTGAATAATTTTAGTGAGGAAATTTCTGTTTTTGGTTTTATTGAATATGAATCAACTGATGTTTGTCTCCTCTTTACTGAAGGATGAGTATCTGCTGGTGAGAGACTGTGCGTGTGGACAACTGTTTGATTCCAGTCCTGTAGACTTTACCAGTGACTTGGGCACTCGATTTGTCCTTCATCCAAGCGTACTTAAAATGTCTCAACCACCAAGAGTAGTATCATGGATGGCAAAAGCTTTTGCCTCTGGGCTGGACACACTATTCATAAGCAGATTTGAGGCGCAACGTGCTGAGTACTGGGAAACTCTACTCTCATCAGTTGTAAGGTTTCTACCATGTTGGTTTGAAGCTCGTTGTGCGAAGTTCAATTTTTTAATATCCATTTAACCAATATAGCATAAATTTGCCTGCAGAATGTGGGTCCAATACTCATACTTTGTTCAGAAGACGATCAACTTGCTCCATACCCAGTTGTCTCTAATTTTGCTCAAAATCTGCAAGAACTCGGTGGTGATGTTAGACTATTGAAATGGAAAAGTTCCCCTCATGTAGGTATGTTCCAGCCTACAACTGAAGTAATGATACAAATAATAAATAAGAGAAAAGCTTTTGTTTCAGCAATTATAACCTGGTCTGGAACATCAAATCTAGCGCTAGCTTAGTTTAGGAGGTCAAAATTATTAAAATTGTATAGTCCTCTGATGAGATCATTTACATGGACACCAAGACATCACTAGCCTTGTGGAGGCCAAGTAGTTCATAGCTAGTTAATTAAGCTTAACCAGACGACAACAACAGCAACAGCAACAAAGCCTTCATCCCAAATTTTTGGGGTCGGTTGATTAAGCCTAACCAGAGGAAAAAAAAGTGGTGCTTGCTGGATCTAGCATTATTAGAAGTGAGTTCAATTTTCTAACCTGACCAAACCCTTTCAAAGTTCAATGAGTTTGTTTCATTCATGTTCAGGTTGAAGTCAAATCATTTGCATGTAAAAAGAAAAATGAAGTTGCATCCCTGGTAAAAATCTGAAAATATGCTTTTTTGTAGGAAGGCCCTCTCCCTAGAAGAAATTCCTTAAAATAGTTCCTCTCGACAGGAATTCTTATCTCAATTGGACCTCAAAAGTACTTTGATGGGATTTTTTTCTATTATAAGATTCAAAATTGATATCTCAACATGAAGAATAGAAAAAAAAGCTACTTTTTTAAATTTTCCTGATACTAAAGTCCTCTCCGGACTAAAAAAGGGGTTTTTTCATATATACCCCTCAAATCTTCCATATTTGCAAATTTGCCCCTCAAATCTTCCATATTTGCAAATTTGCCCCTCAAATCTTGGTATTTACAAAATTACCCCTTAGCTCCCTCACATTGAGTTTTTCTACGCCTCTCACTTGATGGTTTTAGTTTTTAAACGAAAAATATATCAAACTTGTTGGAATTTATTGGAAATTTTTACATTGCCCTATTTAGAAACCAATATTATATTATTGTTACGTTGGAGGGGTAGAAAAACCCAATGTGAGGGAATTGGAGGGATTTGAGGGGAAACATGAAAATATGGAAGATTTGAGGGGTGTATGTATATATGCAAAAACCTTTAAAAAAAGCAAGAATATGCCTTTTTAGTTGGAATATCCTCGCCATATCAGAAAAGTCCTTTTAAAAATTCATATTAACAAGAAGGCTATTTCACTATCAGAAATCCAAAGTTAGAAAACAATCTCCTCTCCATGTTTATATAAGATTGTATAACCTCTTAACTAGACGTTCCTTTGATTCAATTTAAATGTTATTAACAACGGTTTTTTGAGTCTATTGGAGATAGCAAGTCTTATATTAATATACCTACACATTTTCTGAGTGAAAATTAACACCCAATCATATTATTATTATTTTTCCTATTCATCCTAGAGGATAGTTTCTTCTGTGTGACTCTACATCAGCATCAACTTTTACTTACGTATAAGTACGTTTTTATAACGATGCTGGTTATATAACCATAGCATAGATCTGAATATGGCTATCCAACGTCATACAGAAGAATGTCTAATTTATCTGTGCTTGATAATATTAGTTAATGGTTTAGTATGCATTTGGGTTTGTAGGTTTAGATTACATAGATATCTAATCTTTCCTTATTTTCAAAAAGGTGTATTCTTGTTATACACGTTTCACACATGAAAAATAGATCCTTCCCTTGTAAGTGTTTAAAAGGGTAGGATAATCCTGGAGCATTCTAAAATCCCGTTATTGAAATATATATATTGTAGAGATTATATTCAATGGTTATGCTTCTAATGACACAATATTATGTCTTTAATTTGAATACGCATTCCAATGGAATAATTATTGGGCACTGTGGTTTTTAAACTCATATTAATTCCAAAATAAGTCTTAAGAGAACTCAAATATCCCAGTTCTACTGTGAAATCATCCAAGCGCATCCTCAAAATAAAAGGGTGGGGGGAAAGAAAAAAGAAAGAGGTTTTTTGACATGTAATGCATGTGGTTTCTCACCCTTGGATGGGGACAAGCTAAAACTTCTTTTCTCGGATTGTAAGTTTTTTGATGGAACCTAGATTTTCAAAGATGACTGAAATGGACATGCAGATATGCTCCCCTAACAAAATTCTCTGTTAACATATCTAAAAACATTTGACAAATCTTATCTACTTTGTACTTGTAGCTCCTCTTCGAAAAATACATATTGGACACCGTTTGTCGATTCCATCTTGTTCTGTTCGGGCTAGTATATTGTTCTTGAATTTGTTATCTGTGTCTTATCTTGTGCCACGTCCATGTCTATATTTTGCAGTGTTTAACACACCACCATCTGTGAACATCCAGTGCACATCTTGCTGTCAATTTTATAATTAGGTTACATTTTAGACTTTTAAATCATGTGCAAGTTGAGTAAGTATCACTGTGGGAACTGTTAAGGAAATTGTTGAGTGAGTATTCTGTAGTGAGACAAGTAGAACTAGAAACAGAACCAAAGTTGACTGAAAAAGATTTATGTACCAACATTTATCAACATTAATGATATTAAAAACCTTATCTCCTTGTATACAATACATACGCTTGGCAACTAACAACAGACTTTCTACTAAGAAATCAGGAATGTGACAGTCTACCAACTACGGCTTAAACTTGTTTTTTAACAGGATGATTTACATACTCATCACTCTCGTTATCTAAAAAGTTTCTATTGCCTGAAACTAAAGAATTACGATTAAAAGATCTAAAGCAAATTCATAGCTTGTGTTGGGTCAGGTGGTTTGGCTGGAGTTATACAGAGTTTTTTTGGTTAGCCTCCGAAGTGAGCCTTGACGCTGGAGTTTTATATGGAACTTGGGAATTTTTGCATGCAATTGGTAAAGGCTTAATACCAATCGGAACAAGAACCTATTAACTTGTTCTCCATAACATTTATATACTGTCAGCTTCTCTAATTTTTCTAAAAGTTGAAATGGAGGTCTTTGGTGCTCGTGTTCAACATATTGAGCTGTGCATCTCCATCTGCCAACTGCCCCTTGTTGGATAGTCGCCGCACTGAAGCTTGATGTCCAATTGGAAGTTTCATCAACCTTCTCAACTTAGAATTAATCTTGCATAAGCAACCCCCTGTCCTGAAAGATGTTTCACATGAAGATGATAGTAATGACAATCTTTACAAGACATCCATTCTCAAGTATATTATGATAAGAAAGATATCTGTGGAGTGTTCAAATAAAGACGATAGTCAAAGCAATCTTTACGCGAAGCACACATCGTTTGCAAGTGTGTTTTGATACAAATGACATCTAGAAGTTGATTAGTCTTCTCATGCGCAAGACTCTTATGACTTGGACTTGATCTGTGCAGGTCATTACAAGCATTACCCAGCTGAATACAAAGCTGCGGTAACTGAGCTCCTTGCGAAGGCAACACTTCACTATCAACAGAAGAAAAAACATTCACCAATAGACCAAACATCAGGGATGGCTGGTTCTTCCCGCAAAATATCTGAATCTGTTTGTTGTCTCCATAAAGCAGCAGATTCTTCGAACAACAGCCTCAGACGAGTAGCCATCGATCCTAGTGACCATTTCTTCCTACCGAGCTCCACAGAGTATCACGAAACTAAAGAAGGGGGTTCTCTGGTCAACGAGCAAAGGGGAGGGTCATTTCAGATGCAGGGCCCGCCAACTGTCAACGCGAATGGAGTTTTAGGTAAAATCCTTTTCGATGTTTGTGTTCCTAAGAATATAGAAGGGTGGGATATAAAGCCGGTTGCTTCCTCTCACCGCAATGGTCCTTTCAATCCTATTAAATGCTTAAGACGGTCGAGATTGTAGGATTGCAGTAGCTTTTAAGTGTTGTGATTTGAGCTTGTGGAGAGGACTTCAATTGACAGGTCAGTGTGTAATGGCCTAGGTAGGAGCCTGTACTGCTTCCTCCCTCGTGCAAATGTACAGAAATACTGAGTTTTGCGGTGTTTTGGCATGAAATTGTCTCGGGCAGTGTTGAACCAAATCATAGAATTTGATCATCTCTTCTTTATATTAATTTACAGTTCAGAGTCTTGTTTTAATACGCAAGAATAAAAATCAGGACAAATTTTCAAAACCATCCCATTTGAGATTTTATTCCCAAAAAACGACCCTTTTCCTCTTTATTTGTAAAAACCGACCTGGTTTTAGCTTCAGCGCTGAAACCAGGTCGGTTTTTACAAAAAAAAGTTTTGAAACTTCACGGGAGTTCCCGTGAACTCCCGTGAAGTTTAGCAATCATTTAATTAAGAAACTTCACGGGAGTTTAACTCTCGTGAAGTTTCGGAACTTTTTTTTGTAAAAACCAAGGCTGAAACCAGGTCGGTTTTTACAAATAAGAGGGAAAATGGTCGTTTTTTGGGAATAAAATCGCAAAAGGGTTTGTTTTGAATTTTTGTCCATAAAAATCACGATGGATTTGATCCAATGTTGACTAGTTTAATTAATGGTGGATTTAAACCTGGACACAGCCGTGCACGTTAGAGTCTGCCTTGAAATGATAATGCTAGCTATCAAAGTAAATCTGCGTAGACGTGATTGGCTTGCATGATCTCCATGATCAACGGGTTTAATTGGATAAAATCTGTATTAGTTGCTCTCACCAATGAGTTTGTTATCCAAATACGTGCATTGATGTAATTCAAGCTTTTCCAATCTTAACCTAAAATCTTCATAAAAGGATTAGGCATATCAATTCAAATCTAAAATAAATAAGAAAAAGGAAAAAAAAAATAGAAAGATCAAATCTTGCAGCTCCGTAGTCATTTTATAAAACGAGAGTAAGACCATAGGTACGTACAATAAGTAGCTCAAAATTTATAGTGATCTTAAATTCTTAATATGCAAAAAGATATTAATTATGGTAGGTTTTCCCAGCCCCAACTCATTTAATTCAAAGTTCGGATGCAACCCAAATCCAGCTGTGCACATGAGAGCTCATCCTTAATCTTTGGATAACAGAAGTAGTAGCGCTCACAATCAAAGTAAATCCGCATCAACATTGTTGGGCACGCAATCTCTTCAGTCAAACAGATATTGTTGGTTGCGTCAAAAACCAAAATCCGATAGATCTGAATTAATTTCTCTGCAGTTATTTCTGTCGTCCAAACACGCTCTTGATCTTTATTTCACCTTGACCTAAAGACTTCATTAATGGATTATACACCAATTCAAAATCTAGGTCTAAAACTCGCAAAAGTACATGATTAACTCTAGCAACTCTATATTCGTTTTGGTAAAACTACAATTAAACCGCAATTCCAAACAACAAGGTTCCGGGCTCTCTTTAATTAATTAGGTTTCCACTACTAAGGGATGAGATATAGCCACATAGGTTTCCACTATTATATGGAAACCGCTTTGTCTTGAAACTATTGTGATACTGATAATCCTACTTGATTGTATCTTCCCTTCAAATTTAAATGGACGGTAGAGATTGAGCTAATTGGATACTCTCCAATCGCTAACTAGGGCCTACTTGGATAAATGTGCCACGCCCCGAAATTGCGGCGGAAATTCATAAATACAGGTTACGCGACAGCATCGACCCATGTACAAGACAAGTCTTATGCACGAGTCAAGCCTGACACTTCATATCACATAGTTTATCTCAAAACATTTTATAAACCTGCTGATGATAGAAGTTCAGAGAAACTATATATATGTATTAAATCGGTACTTAGAACCCACAAGCTCACTGTTATAAGCATTTTACTAAATAAAGCACATTGTTGATTGTATGTAACATCAAAATGGAGGCTTTTCATATAATGTCTCTCAGCAAAGCGCCATAACCAAAAGTTCAGCTATTATGCAGCTACGCTAGATCTAAAAAATAAAAAAAAACAACGGGGTGAGCTAGGGCTCAATGAGAACATTTCCCACTAGAGTTCCTAGATAACTAACAAAATAATAATAAGAATAATTCCCATAAATAACGAATTATAAGTTTTGCACCAGAAATTTAAAAAAAATTACAAGTATGGTCCAAACAACATACTATTGATATTTTTATGGAAGAATGTAACAGTTTATATTTCTTTCCCATTTTCAAACTAAATATATTGTAATATATTTCAAAATCAGACCCCTTTTTAAAACAAGGTAAACCCTAGGAAAGAAATGGACTATTAAATTTGTGCAAAAACCAAATGTTTGTTATTTTCTCTATTTCACGGTCAATTATCATAATCTTAAATCTCGATGAGTCATTCGTGAATGTGAAAATCACCTCATAGGTCACACTAAGGCTACAAATTATAGCCCAGTAGCATGGGAATGCGTAAAACGCATCACATAACAGATAATTCCCTGAAATTGAATGCACCTATCACTGCCATATGTATAGAGGGGCCATAAACATTTTTTAGAAGGGCCAATTACAGAAGGGCCAAATACAAAATGGTTGAATATAGAAGGGCTAAATAAAGATGCATTCACCATATGACAAGCAGAACACTCCATAGTGGACCTTCTGAGGATTTAAAAACATCCAGAATCAATTGTCGAATCAGAAATACCTTGCTTATTAGAATTTACAAATATTTTCAAATGAAGTGGACGAGGGTAAAACTCATCAACCCAGTTAACACAGTTTAGGGATTCACTTTTCTTTATTTTTATCGGATATTAAGTCACAGAAAATCTTTGAATCCATTAAACTGTCGAAACACGTTCAAAATATTTATTTTCTTCAAAAGCTTTCAAATAAAGCAATATCTACAATGATATAAGATCGGGTAAAACCAAATTCACTTTTCATATTTTACATAAAATCAAATTGCCTTTTCATATCTTGTACGAAACTAACATCATATTATAGGATAGACCACAACAGAAATAGATCAAGTCACATTTAACTTTCATATACACGAAAAATAATAGACTATTTATTTTCAAGAACAAGATCATTCAAACATAGTACTATGTACTCATGCAATTTTATATTGTAAAAATACTAGTGAGAAATGAACTCACATCCAGTGGTCACGACTTCCTCAAAATATTATTCTCCTGAATATCAATCAGAACCTATAATATGAAGATATAAAGCTAATATTAATTCATGACAACATATATTATAGCTTACTCAATTTATAATCTAGAACCAATAAATTCAAATATAATCAATAATAATTAAAATCTATAAATAGGGTATATATGAGTTTATTGCTAACTTTAGCAATTTATTAAAATTTTATAACTTCCATATACTAGCTTTTGGACTTCCTAATAAGTTATGATAAGGCAAGAGATTATAGGGAATTAATCAAGCCCAAAAGTTATCTTTTATTCTTCAGATTGGACCTGTTTGCAAACAAAGCAAATGACAGGATCCTAACAGAGATTTTTCAGTCCTTTTTCAACTATAATTTCATTTTACTTAGGTCTGTTCGAAATTTTTACATGGCTCAGGGATTTAAGGAAAATTTTCTTAGCCAAATTTTGTATTCAATGACCTAGGTGGGCTTATCATGAAATTATTTTTGTAAGCCAAGGGTGAATGAAAATTTTCCTTCTCCCCTTTTTCTTAGTTCTCCTGCTACCCGATTCTTCATCTTCCTCTCCTTCTTGTTCTGTTTCTTCTTTCCTTTTTTTTCTATCTGGACCGTCTGAGGCATCTCTCTCTCTCTCTCTCTCTCTCTCTCTCTCTCTCTCTCTCTCTCCCCCCCCCCCCCGCCAACGACTAAGAGTGGCCGGCGGCAAGACCCCCATCGGATCTAGGGTTAGTTTTTTTTAATAATACCAAAAATCACTTCACAAACCATTTCATAACATAATTTAGCTTCAATTTATTTTATTTTCCATTTGATTGCCCAAGATAGCTTATCATGCTCTATTACATGAATTCAACCAAGTAAAATATAATAGAAGATTGTACCTTGCTATGAGTTGTTTGATAGAGGGCTTAGCTACTCTCCTTCTCCCCTCTCTCTCTTTTTTTACCCGAATTTGATCCCTATTTCCTCCCTATATATTTTACTGTGAGGCGGTGAGAAACACCAATAGGAGGAGGCGGTGAGAAACACCGATATACAATTTATTTATTTGTTTATTTTTTAATATATTTTATTAGTTTTTATCTGGGGCTATTACAAAATGAAATATCAAAAATAAGAAGTGAACCAAAGATTTAACTTCAACAATTTGGATAGAAATTGAAAATATCATTTTAAAAAAAATAGAGGATATTTTAAGAATTTATTTAGAGTCAAGAATATCCATATAATACAAATACTAATTTTATTCTAAAATTGCATATTAGAATACTTCCGAGCCTTTGGGCATTGTTTGATATGTAGAAAATAAATAGAAAGTGAAAAAAAAGGAGAAAGTATTTTCTGATTAACGTATTTCTTATTACTTTCTATTTTGCGAAATCTTGTTTGTATCTTAGAAAATAAAAGGAGATAAAGTTGAGGTGGTAAATGATATGGCACTAACTTTCTTCATGTTCTATTAGGTTATCACAGAAAGTAATAGCAATAAAGTGGACAAATAAAACTAAAATAATACGTTAAAAAATCTAAAAAAATATTTTCTCTCTCCATCTCTTCACTTTCCATCCGCTTTCTCCGAAAATTCTCCAATATTTGGAGAAAGTGAAATGAGCTAAAATGTTGATATGGATCTCTTTACTTTTTAATCACTTTCCATTCACTTGCCAAATGCCAAATGGGATAAAAATGGAAAGTAGAGCCATATTTTAATTTTCGGTGCACTTTCCATTTACTTTCTGGTTGATAAACATACCCTAATGAAAGGAAAATTGATTTAAAAAGCAAGATGCCACATAGGCTTCACATCATCATTTTAGGAAATAGTAAAAGTAGCTAGAAAATAAATAATATTTTTTACTTAAAACTAGCACATGTAATCTCTATTTTCATCAATTTTGCTACTTCACTTATTTATGTGCAAACAAACTGACCATAATCAATAGGATCTTAATCGAAGGGCCCGTTTGTTTGCACGGAAGTAACTGTGAAATAGCAGAAATAGAGGAACTAGAGGCTACTTCTGCTATTTCTAGGCAAAAAATGTATGTTTGTTTCTCTTAAAAATTTACTTCCACTACTTCCTTAAATGATGACGTGGTGTTTACGTGGCACCTCTATTTCCTTTATATTTTTCCGTCTTCTAATGCACTGAAATGCGACGGAAGTTGATGTAGGGTGGGGTGTACGAGAAAAAAAAAAGATTCTTAAAACTATAATTAGGGAAGTGATGAGATTTCCTTCTTATAACCTCAAATTGCGATAAGAAAACACGGGGTATAATGTGTACGTTTGAAATCAATACTTAACTGTTATTGTCAATCACAATCCATAGAAAATAGAGCATGACGAAACTTTAACTCGCAATTTGAGGATTATAAGTCTTTAACTTTAAAATGACTAGAAAATGGCGATAGTCTTTAAACTCGCGGTTCTAGTCCCCGCCAACTTCGCCAATTTCTAGTCATTTTATATCTTCTTTTTTTGTTTTTAACTATATCCTCAAATTGCAAGTCTTTAACTCGCAGTTCTAGTCCCCACTACTTCCCCTTCTAGTCATTTTATATCTATATCCTCAAATTGCAAGTCTTTAACTATATTGTTGAAGTGTGTGTGATAATTAATATAGTTTCATATAGTATCTGAAATATGAAGTATTTTTGCAATGCCATGCGGTTTCAATAGGAACACTTAATTTGAACCCACAACAATTCTATTTTTATTTCAATGACAATCCAAACAAGAATAAAATGGAAGCAACGTATATTAATTAATTCCTAGTAATATTTCCAAATATTATCCAAACGAAAAAAGTAAATGAAGAGGAAGAAGTTCTACTTCCATTACTTCTAAAAATATATGAAACAAACAAAAAAAATGCTATTTCCTCTACTTCCTATTTCATAATTTTGGAAGTTACTTTCGTAACATACTTCTTACTTCTAATACTTCTATTATCCAAACGGGCCCTAAACAAGAAGCAACTGATATCAATCATAATGGATTTGATTCAATATCAGTCCAAATTCAACAGTCCCCTTCCTTGCTAGCCACATTACAACTCCCTCTCCCCCTCTCTCCCCCTCACTCTACCTTTGAGGCTCTTTGGCTATTGTTTGAATTTTGAATTGATGATAATGTTAAAAATCTTAATGAACTTAAATTTCTAATTATGCATTTGGTTTCGAAGGATATTGAAATCCTTTTGGAAAGATAATCTTTACGTTCTTGTTTGTTCTTGCTAGGGGTGGGCAATGGGTCGGTTCGAACCATGAGTCAAACTGGCCCATCCTGCCATGGTTCAAGACCCGCATAGCCCATGCCGTGCTTGGGCTCAACCCGCCCATAATTTCATGGGGGATCGGCCATGCTAGATTTCGCTCTAAACCAGGGATCAAAGTAGTAGGCTCAACCCACTATTGGTCTGGCCCAACATTAAACTAGCCTGACTAAGTTTTTCATATTTTTTTTTATTTTTTTATTTATTTGGCCAAATTGAGTCCAAATTAAAAATCTAAAAAACCTAGCCTAACAGAAGTAACCATTAATATAAAAAGGTTTTAGCCTAGTCCATGGGATAGCAAACAAAAGCTTTTCATTACAAATATGACGAATATAACTTAAGAGTTATTTAGTTCTCAGAACATTAATGGTTAAAATATTTTTTATTTTCCCCATTTTGTAAGGATTATATAAACTAAAGTTATTTATTTCACGTGGATGTAAGACTTCCTCCAAAGTCCGAACCATATATACATGTGTTTGTGATGCTTGTTTTTGTGTAATGTTCATTTTTATACAATATATATTCACACACACACATAAAGACATACACTGTGTGTGTGTGTATATATATATATATATAATATATGTATATATAATATATATATATATTTATATATATATCTATATAAATTTAAATAAAAAGTTTTAAATGGTAACAAATAAATTAAATATAAATTCAAGCATATACTGTATATTATAAGATTAAAAAGGAAAAAGGAAAAAAACAACCATGGGAGAACCGCACACCCGACAAGCCGTGGGCCAAGTCTAGCTCGACAGTGTTATCGCAAACCATGGGTTAGGCTGGGTCTAGCCCTAGGCTCGGGACTAGAGCCTTCGATCCGACCCACTCAGGCAACGGGACCTGTTGAAGCCGACCCGACCATAAACTCGATCAGGCCGGTTCACGGGTCGGGCCCGATCCGACCCATGTCCAACTCCAGTTCTTAGTTGTTTCTGCAACTGGACAGATTTAGATGTTGGGTTAAAGCTTAGACTTAGAGAAATTAACAGAATTTGTATTAGAGAGATGAAATTGCAATATTAATGAATAGTTAAGGAACTAATAATCAAATATTGAAATTTGAGGGATTATTTGGCAATTAGGATTGATTTAAGGGACTAATACACAATTACCCAAAAAAAAGTTGAAAAATGATAAAGGTACTACTCTTGATACTACTTTGATACCACAAGAAACAAAAGAATAGGATCCTTTTTTAAAAGCCAAAAAAACAAAAATGGTGACTCAACAAGATCCCACTCTTTTATTTCTTGTAGTAGTATTCCGAGAGGGTAGTACACTTATAGCTACTCAAAAAAGTTTAGGTCAGTATTCTAACAAAAAAAAAGGGATTAATACGCAAAAAGAATCGGAAACAAAACTCTAGCAATCAAATGGGCCCCAGCAAAATACGCTAATTGCGCCGTTGATGTGTCATAATTTTTCCCCCTAAAAGCCCGACTAATCCGCTAATTATAATTTTCTCCGTTCTCCCCCCTAACACTGCACCCAAAAAAAAAAAAAGAAAAAAAAGAAAGAAAAGAGAGATAAACCAGAATCGCAACAAAATTTCTCCCCTCGTCTTCCCTCTCTCTCTCTAATAAATCCATCAATCAAATCGAAACCCCTCAGTAATGTCAAATTCCCCAATTTAAATCCCCATAATTTCTACCCAAAAGAAAAGAGGAAACAAATAATCCCCAAATGTGATTGATTGCATCTCCTTCGAATCTCTCTCGAGTCCGCCCATGCCTTTTCTCGATCAAATCTCGACCCCAATTTCCCCTGTAATCAGAAGGGAGATCGTTTCCTGATCGTGAAAGCTCCTCTCTTTTTCTTTCTCCCTCGCCAGAGAAAAAGACGGGAAAATCGAAGGGAAAATGTCGATGACGAAACCCAAGGACAATCAAACGCTGCCGCTGGGAGTTCTCCTGAAGCGGGAGCTGTCGACGGAGAAAACGCCGGAGAAGCCCGATATAATCCACGCGCAGGCAAATCAGAGCAAGAAAGGCGAGGACTTTACGTTTCTCAAGACCGAATGCGAGCGGGTCCCCGGCGATGGGTCGACGACGTTCGCCGTTTTTGCGGTAAATTTAAAGTTTTTCCTCTTTTTTTTTTTTGATTTGTTTGCGATCGTAGGTTTTGGGGGGTAGAAATCCTTTTTTAACGTCGTCAAATTAGGATTTTGGAAATTGTGGCCGGAGATGAAAGCAATTCCATGACATTTTTTTAAAGGTCGGCATTATTAGTGAAATTGGTTTATTGTTGAGACACTGGTATTATATAGATACTATCTACTTGCTTTCTCGAGGTATCCATGATACTTGTATTACAAAGGTTTTATCGTTGAGAAGTGTAAAATGTATATACTTATAAAAGGCAATGCGCTTGAATGAAAATTTGTTTGAAGGTTTAAAGAGGGTGGGGGAAGAATTCTGAATGTGTATGATACGTGAGGTGCTTGAATAAGGGGAAAAGACAACAGAATGAGGAGCTTCAATTAACTTCTTTCCAAATTTGTCTTGTATACTTCGGTAGGTTCTATTGTGCTACTTCTAGAAATTGTGTCTTGGTTCATTTTACGAAGAAGCGATAAAAGAAATAATATCCCAAAGAACTTGCTTATTATGTATAGCCTCACAAGCCCTTATGTTATTCAAAACTTCCCTACAATTAATAAAATACCCTCTTATTTCACATACCGTCATTACTTTAAGTTATTTGAAGTATGTCAATATCCCTCAAATATAGAAAAGAACACAGCTCTAGTAATCAGAGATCCTTATACCCAATCTTTAGCATTTATTACAGAAACCCCTTTTGTTGTTCAGATCCATTTAAAGCGCCCTTCAACTGTGGGTAATCATGTCATGAACGTTAGTCAAACATGTTCATGTGTAGAAAACTTGAAATTCACCTAAGACCATGGGCATTATGCCTTGTGAACCTCTTTTGTTACCTTTTCTTGTTGTGAGTAAGTTTGTATATTTCTTTGGGTTTTCTGTTTGAACTGCTTTTGCTGTGGAGATCTGGTAATTAGTAATGACCATCTCCATAGTTACAAGCTGTTCAGATCCATTAAAAGCGCCCTTCAACCGTGGGTAATCATGTCATAAATGTTAGTCAAACATGTTCATGTGTAGAAAACCTGAAATTCACCTAAGACCATGGGCATTATGCCTTATGAACCTCTTTTCTTACATTTTTCTTGTTGTGTGTAAGTTTGCATATTTCTTTGGGTCTTCTATTTGAACTGCTTTTGCTGTAAAGCTCCACTAATTGGTAATGGCCATCTCCGTAGTTACATGCTGTTCAGATCCATTAAAAGTACCCTTCAATTGTGCGTAATCATGTCATGAACGTTAGTCAAACATGTTCATGTGTAGAAAACTTGAAATTCACCTAAGACCATGGGCATTATGCCTTTGAACATCTTTTCTTACCTTTTCTTGTTGTGTGTAGGTTTGCATATTTCTTTAGGTCTTCTATTTGAACTGTTTTTTCTGTAGAGCTCTAGTAATTAGTAAAGGCCGTCTTCGTAGTTACATGCTGTCTTGATATCTTTTTATACTTAAATAATAATGGTAGCATCAATGTTACATTTAACGTTGGGCGCTTCTAGGCGTCGGACTTGGCGCCCAGCGCTTAGTCGCCTAGGCGGGCGCCTAAACGGTTTCTGGGCGTTTTTTTTCTTTCTTCATTTAAGTGGTGGTCGATGATGTTTTGCTGAAGGTCAGAGGATGTAGTGGAGGCGTTCATATTTGGAGGTTAATGGAGTTTAGAGGACGTGTAGGCTACGACACATAAAATCAAAATCAAGGCCTACAGGGTGCAATCCACGTAAGCAGACAATGCTCCCCTAAACGCTCGTAAAATCTAGATGGGCAGCCTAAATACCGTCTAGGCGCTAGGCGCTAGTTAGGCGGCCTAGGTACCGTCTAAGCCTAGGCGTACGCCTAAGCGGACTAGGCGGAGGTTTTTTAAAACAGTGGGTAGCATACATGTTAGTTTGAACTATTCATGCAAAACTGGTCTCCTTACTGAGTATTAAGCATGCTTGTTTTATATTTAGTTCTTTCTGGTGAATCTAACTACATATTATGTTCATGTGGAGGACTCTAAAGGATCTTTTGCCCTCTATTTTCAGATTTTTGATGGGCACAACGGACCTGCTGCTGCTATATATGCCAAGGAGAATCTTTTAAACAATGTTCTAGGTGCAATCCCTTCAGATCTGTGCAGGGATGAGTGGATAACAGCATTACCTAGAGCCCTGGTTTCAGCTTTTGTTAAAACAGATAAGGATTTCCAAGCTAAAGGTATGAAAGGTGTAAATGAAAATTACTTGCTATTATTGTTAGGGGGTTTTCACCAAAATCAACTTTAAAATAGGGTGTAAATACAAAAACCACCTTTCAAGTTTAATTTATGTTGAAATCACCTTTAAAGGGAGATCTGGTTGCAATCAACCCTAGACCTATTTTATGATTAAATTTTGATTGATGTCCCCGAAATGCCCTTGAAAAACATACTGGAAAATATGTCAATTTTGTTAATTATACATGTCATGTGCCTAGCATGTGTATTTTTAGGGTATTGCGGAGATTTTTAATTGAAATTTTCATCAAAAAATAGATCAAGGCGGTTACTTGCAACCAGAAAGACCTTTAAAGGTGGTATCTGTATAAATTGAACTAGAAAGGTGGTTTTTGAATTTTCACTCTATTTTAAATGCAGTTATTTGTGAACCCCGCCCCCCCCCCCCCCCAAAAAAAAAAAAAAAAAAAAAAAAATTACTTGGATATATGATATAATTATACTTTAGTACATGCACTATACAACGTTTGTCAAATGCTTTTTTAACCCTGGATTTTCTAAGTTTCACTTTTTGAACTAAATATATAATATTTGTACACACATATGTCCACACAGGCACTCATAATTGTGTGCATGTGTGTGTATGACTTTTACACATGATTGAAATAAAAATATAACCCTTAACCCTCACCACACTTGGAGTTTTGGTGTAGTGGTAGGGATCTCTGACATGGTACCAATGTACCAATGCAACTCAGGTTCAAATCTTACTAGCCATGAATTTCTAAAGCGGATTAAAAAAAGGGCACCACTCTATGAGTCCATGTTAGGTCCATGAAAGGGCACTCAACCAGTGGGGGCATATTAGAGTGTAAAACAATAACCCTCACCACAATGTTGGAATTTTCGTGAAGTGATGAGGACCTTTGGCAATACCAAATGGCATATCTCAAAATTTTGCATGGTCAAATCCTATAATTTGACTCAGTGCAGTTGATTATTACTTATCTAGATTTATACTGATGCTAGAATTCTTTTTTCTATTTTTTTTCTTTATCTGAAACAGGTCTTTTTAAATGATTTAATTATATTAAGAAGAAAAATCAGCTTTATCAAATAAGCAATATGGCAGTAACTTTAACCAGTAACTACATGGATTAAACATTAAGTTACCAACTCTAATGAAGATTTAACATCACTATCAAATGTAGTAGCTTGTAGTGCTTCACATATGCATCTCAAAATTCAATTCCCATTCGCAGTTGCATTATGTACAGCCTTATTACTTGGCAGATATACACAACGAGAAGGGTAACACATCCCATTACAATCTAGTTGAATTCATACTCGTACATATATACAGAAGCAAAATATTAACATTTACACCATGTCCTAAAGACTATGGTAGGCAACTGGTATTGTAGCTAGTTATGTCCTAGAGAAAAAACAGGCTGGGTATAATAATGCATCACCATTTTCCTTAGCAAGTGTTTCTGGATTGAGCTATTCCTGCAATAAATGTCAGAAAGATATTACCTGATTAGAATCTGTTTAAGTGCCAATCCTATGCTTTAAATGTGAGCAAGATATTGTCTGGGTAAATCTATTTAAGTGCCAATCATATGCCTGTCTATATCTCTCAATAGCCATCTTTTATGAAACTTCTGATTGAATCTGTCGGTGTATGCGTATACCTGAGCAGTTACTTGTTTTGTACATATGGTTAACGTGATTATGGTGCCAATCTTAACTATTTTCTTCAATTCTTTTTTTAGCCCAAAAGTCAGGGACAACTGCAACATTTGTAATCATAGATGGGATGGTTGTAACTGTAGCATCTGTTGGTGATTCACTTTGCATACTGGAATCTGCTGAAGGTTCTATTTATTGTTTGTCAGCAGACCACAGGCTGGAAACTAATGAGGAAGAGTAAGTTTCAGTACATTTTAGTTTTCTAGTCGTGAAACTATTGATTTTCAGGGTCTGATGGTCACTCCTGTTGTAGGGTGGAACGTGTAACAGCAAGTGGTGGTGAAGTTGGGAGACTAAACACTGGCGGTGGTACTTCAGTATGTTTACTGAAGCACTAAATTTATTTTATGTCTCTTTTAGTTTCTGAATCCGCACTTGAAAATCAGTTCATTCACGGTTGGCTGTGTGTGTACGTATGGAACTGTTTCTGTATATCAGCCATCATTTTCCTCCACAAGATCATTTCCCATAACATTTAATTTGTAATGGGCTGACGGATCTATAGGTATCCTTGAATAACTAAAGGTAGTTTGTACATTGCTGATTCTAGGGTGTAAATAAATTTGTATATTATATATAAGCTACAGCTGTATATAAATCTTCCGAAAGTTTCAGATTTTAATGCTAGATCACTAAGAGGCTGCTTTATCTTAATTGGGATATAATGACATCACCAGTTTTGCAAACGCTTATGTGGTGTGTTACTGAAAATATCCCTAGATTTTAGGTCATGACATGCAGCACCTGTTCTTTTCTGATTACATTTCAAAGGAAGTGGAACTCTTTTCTTTTTTGTGCCTTTAAATATCTAACCATAATTTTCTTTTGTTGCTATTTAATTAACAACGAAAATTGTGTTTACAGTTTGGTCCTCTTAGGTGCTGGCCTGGTGGTTTATGCTTGTCAAGGTCTATTGGAGACATGGATGTTGGTGAATTTATTGTTCCTGTCCCTCATGTGAAGCAAGTGAAGGTTTGTATTTATATTACCCACGGAGAACCTGTTTCTAGTTTGATTTTCATTCATTTGATACAGATCGATTAGTTTGCAAGGTAATTTTCATGGAATTGCTTGTTTGACATTTGGCATTTGGTTTTCTTACTTTGAATGTTTATTATTACTTTGCATGAAATTGCATTATCATTCAAAATACTTGCAGCCTAATTTGCTCCTTGCTACATGCATCGTGACTTTATAGTATCATTACCATGCATCAGTTGCCATGAGTCGCTCCTTGCTATTAGAATTTTATATGTTGGCAAACAATTCAGTGTTGAATGAACAAACTTAAAGCATTGAATAGACTTCCTTCTTTTTTCCCTCCTTCATTCATCTCCATAGGATTTGTGCCTTTGTGAAATGGGCATATGCTCTAGGAATATGGTGATATCCTCCTATTGCTGAGATTTGGAAATGTGATTCCATCTCCATTGGCTCTTTTGCTTATTTTTCTCAGACAAGGTGCAATTTTTATCCGTCAGTTATCTTCATTGCCTTTGTGTTTAAAGTCCCTTCATTTTGGACATCAAATATAGAACCTTTTTTCTTTCTTAACTTCTGTGTACATATAAACCATGTCTAATATTGCAACACACTCAGTGCAAAGCCACAACTAAGAAGATAATCTGAATGTTTGAAAATACCATATGCTGGTCGAAAGAGTGATCGTCGAGAAAACAATTTACTTTTATCCCTCCTGCTAGCGGAAGAGCTCCTTTTGGCTGATGCAACATCCAGTTAGTTATTGTGCAGTGTTATCCTAATGGAAGTTGTTTACTATTTGAAATGCAGCTTCATTGCGCCTTCCTCATATAGATTAAACTGTCAGCTGTCAAAACAGCACATTCAGTTGTTTTGTTCCAAATATATTAGTAGAATAACAGTTAGGATGTGCTTTACTTTTATTCTCTAAGCTCTACTAGTTAATTTCTAATAGCAATTTATGGATACTTTTATTTGTGTATGAGCGCAGCTGTCTGTGTTCATCTTTGTAATCCTTGTAGCTTTCAAAGCACTTACAAGTTGTGATGGAAGATTCTGAAAAATTCTTTTTAAATTCCTTGTCCTGTAGTTTTGACCTCTTGATATATCATGAAGGCATTTGCCTGAACCAACTTGGAGCCTACTGGAGATTCATTGCAGGGTATTGTAGCTAAGTTTGCAGTATATTACTTTCCAATAGTTCTTCTTTTTCCTTTTGGCACATTGTTTTTTGAATTACTACAAGCATATCAAATAATAAGAATTTTTAATTGCAAGTTGACATTTGCAGTATTCAAATATTGCAAATCATAACCACTTGATCGTATGCTTCTGCTTCTCTCTTGTTCTCTGTTACTTATACTTGAGTATAGATCAGAAATTCTATGTGATTGCAGCTCAGCAGTGCTGGAGGACGCCTTATCATCTCAAGCGATGGTGTGTGGGATGCTCTCACTTTTGAGCAGGCTCTTAGCTGTTGTCGAGGTTTGCCACCGGATGCTGCAGCATCTCAAGTTGTCAAGGTAATTGCGGTTTCGATTTTTGAATAATTCCATTTTGCAATACTTGCATTGCCATGACTGATTGCTTCCTACTGCTCGGTTTCTCATGTAGGAAGCTGTACAAGGTAAAGGACTAAGAGATGATACGACGTGCATTGTGGTTGATATATTGCCACCAGAGAAGCCAACTCCTTCCCAAAATCCAAAGAAGCCAGGAAAAGGGGTGTTTAAGATATTTAGGAAAAAATCTAGTGAGTCTTCGTCGCATGCTGATAATGATTCTCCTGAATCAGAATTCGTGGAGGAAATATTTGAGGATGGATCTGCAATGCTGTCCCAAAGGTATGCGACCAAACCCTTATGGTAGCATGTTTCAATTGTTTCTACCTCACTGAATGATGTCTTGTAAGAACATTTTGAAGTCGAAGAACAAGGCTAAGGAGTTTTGACAATAAATACTTACACTATTGAGGAAAATTTGGATTTGTAAATAAATAGGCTGCAACAACCTACATGGGTTAGGACCAATAGGCTTATAATTATGTTCGTATAAATGCGGTTGGGTTGAGTAATAGCACGCCTGGTCCAGAATTGATATATGATAACTTTTATTAGTACTCATGTATCTTAAAGTTAACATGCCAGAAAATCAGGACTTTGGAAGTCCTAACTGTGCATCTCAAATGTACAGTCATATTGGTTTTTTAATTCAATGCGATTGACTTCGTTGTGACTACTGGATGCATAGGTAAGAAATTGGTAAGTTCTGATTTCTGCCGGCCTGTATTCTGAGATGAGTAGGATCTAACGGCACCGACAAATGTTTTTTAGGATTCATTTCATGGAGAGCCTACTAAGATTTACATTGACTTTTGGATAAATTACACTTAAAAAATACCCAATTGTGCCCAATATTGCTCCGAAGTACCATAAGTTTAAAACCCTACACTTAAACCCTAAAGTTTCTAAAGTTGCACTTTAATACCCTAATTAGGGTGCTAAAGTACAACTTTTTAGAAACTTTAGGGTATTTAAGTGTAGGGTTTTAAACTTAGGGTATTTTGGTGCAATATCGGACAAACAATAGGGTATTTATGTATAATTTACCCTTGGCTTTTTAGACTATCAAAGACAAAAACTCTTCTCATTTGTCCGGGCTTGGGACAGGCAGTGGAAGGATAAAAATAAAAGCACAACACTGATCGAGTTAGGAGAGGGATCTGTAGGCTATATTGAAAGGTGTGGATCATTGATTTAGATGCTACTGTAGAGACCTCTGGTTTACCTCAAGAGAGGATTATCTCCCATTGTTTTGGTTCTTTTGCTTATATCATGGTTCATTTGTTGGAGATTAGTGCATTTCTTTCTTTTAGTCATCCTCCTATATTCTTCACTAGTCTTGGAATTTTTAGATGGTAACTATTTATTTGTAGCATAAGCTCTAAACTGCAAGCAGTAAGTTATTTTTGCCCCACTGAGCAACTGGTCTCTTAGGCTTAGGTTCTAACAGAGAGCCTTTTTCATGTCCCTCTCAATCTCGACATGTTCATGCTCTGAATACAGAACTGACATTAAGTTGCTGTTGTGGAACTTTGTAAATTACCCATTGAGCCTTCTGTGTTAAAATCTGTGTTTCATTGGGCTTTAGATGATGAGGTCTTACGTAGTACTCGCATTGCAGGCGATCATTAATCCTATGAGATGCTGTAGATTCTTCTTCTTTAGATTAACTTAGGATAATATTTTGGTATGGAAGGACCTCTGTCATATTTCTTTAAGTTTTCAATAGTCAGCAAATTATCTGATATTTTTTCTATACTTTGGTTTACAAGACACCTTCCAGAACCAGGAACTTGAAAGAGATTCAGATCATTGTGGATCTTGTGATCAACCTTGGTTGATATCAAACTCTTTAGAGCTAAGGGAAATTTATCTTTGCTATTTTGCATTAAATTTACTATCTTAATTGATTATTGTCATATTTGAAATCAGTTAAATAGTTTAATGTGTTTATTGCAGGTTAGACACGGAATACCCACTCTGCAACATGTTTAAACTTTTCACATGTGCAGTATGCCAGCTTGATATGAAACCTGGTGAAGGCATTTCAGTGCATGAGGGTTCTTCACATCCTAGAAAAGTTCGTCCTTGGGACGGTCCTTTCCTTTGTTCTAGTTGCCAGGGCAAAAAAGAGAAAATGGAAGGCAAGGGCTCTTCTAAAGGTGTCCACCTCATAAATCATTTCAACCCTTTTTACTGTTGCATGGTGGTTTAATCTTTCATATTCCTTTCTTGTTTTTGTTTACATCAGATTCTTCATCTCAAGGAAGGAGAAAAAGTGAATAGTCCGAATCATCACTACATTCAATTTATTTTAAATTTACCGGAGGTTAACAAAAGTTTCGGAGATAGTTAACTAACTCGAAGGTACATTTGAAAGCTTCCCATTGATTTATTCGTTCTCCTGTAAAGAGACGAGCATTGACGCCTAATCTTGGTAGAAGGCTGAGTTTAGCTGCACATTGTGGTGATTCTGCACTTAGAGGAAAGGGTCAGAATTTTTACAGAGGCCTTACCTCTTCTAATAATGCAGAGAAACCTTATATTTTCATTTCTTTCTAGGCTCATTGCCATGTATATGAATTAGCAAAAGGGGCAAAGTTCGGGGGTATACCTTGTGTTATTGTGGTAAAGTTTGGAAGTCATCATAGAATTTTCTTTCAAACAGAGAGGGTAGCTTACACGTATTTAATTGTCAAGTTCCACTGTTTGTGCAGAAATGAAAATTATTGGAAACATTCTTTCAACATTGCATCATCTATTCAATATATTTGCTATGTTAATTTCTCAGAGCTTTTTGTATGCACAGCTTCCTCTAGATAGATGTTTTTGAGTATGGCTGATCTCTTGGCAACTGTTGGTATCACTTGCATGCCTCCTGGGTTGGGAAACAGCATCACATTGATCTTTGTCATCGTCCAAATATTTCAATTAAAGATGCGATGCCGTGGAGCATAAGGGAAAGTTGCTCAGTATCTTATGTAGGGCATCTTGCTATCATTGCAATGTCATTAGATATCTGAATTATTTTTCTTTGTACAGAAAGTGTTAAATCTTTGATGTAATGGATGAACGCAGATTTGATATAAACCGGTAAATGCGAGACATGGCATTTGCATTCATTTGATGTAATTGGTCGTCGAGGTGGAGCAACATGCGTTATCCATCATTTGCAATCTTCAATACAAAATGCGAAGATCTGTGCGCGGGAATTACGTGCCAATGTTGTTGTTTCAACTCCTTTCATGTGGTACTTACACAAGGATATTCTGAGCTCTCGCGCAAGAAGCATGATAGAGAGATCATAATACGACCATGAGCCGAGATATTGACAGTTCCTCTTTTTATTTTTATTTTGTTTTTTTCTTTGTTTTTTTGGGGATACGAGGGAAACCTAGCAAGGCAGGAGGATCCCGAGCAAAGGCCCGAGTTTGAGTCTCCCATCCTTACCAGTAAATCTTAGGTGCACTGGGTACCCCTTTCCCCAACCAAACCAAGACACCAAGTTAGTAGGACACTTCAGGGACGCAGGAGGCAAGCCTCGAACCCTGGCATTTGGCCAAGTAGTTAGCTCCTACTTCTGATTCAATCATAAGAATACCCACTCAGATAATGTCAAAACAACCACCCCTGAGAAATGAATACTATCTACCTGGAGAAGAAGATGAAGTTATGGAAGATTGAAAACTGAAAAAATCGCGTTAATTATTTGTTCAAGAGACTAGTTTAAGAAATATAGGAACAAAGCACACCAGATTATAATCTCGACAATCATCTTCTTTATTTGCATGCATATTTGTCTTTCTTATCCTACAAATTCACTGATACGTACTGGAATAATCCAATTCGAGAATTACATATACCGTTCACTTTCTAAAATTTGAAATTTCAATTGGGCTTGCTTCTTCATGCTAGACCAAGCACCGAACCATATCACATTACATTGGGAAAAAAAATTTTAATCATCAAATAAGAAGAAGCTAACCTTAGAGCAACTCCAATGGAGCGCCAAAACTCCATTTTGGAGTGTTTTGACGCTCTAATGGAGCGCCAAACACCTCGCTAAATTAGCGGGGTGCTACAGTGTTGCGCCAGAAATGGCGCAACACTGTAGCGATAGCGCAGGTTTTTTTTTTTTTTTTTGCTTTTTTTCTTCTAAACTTTATTCTTTTATTCATATTTTCTTTTCTTTTTGCTTTTTTTTTCCTAAACTTTCTTTTGCTTTTGTTTTTTATATTTATATTAATAATATATATATTAACTTATATTAATTATTATAATAAAATTAGAGTATAAAATAATTATTAAAATAAAATTCAGTTTTTTTTTTTTTTTTGCTTTTTTTCTTCTAAACTTTATTCTTTTATTCATATTTTCTTTTCTTTTTGCTTTTTTTTCCTAAACTTTATTTTGCTTTTGTTTTTTATATTTATATTAATAATATATATTAACTTATATTAATTATTATAATAAAATTAGAGTATAAAATAATTATTAAAATAAAATTCAAAAAAATTTATTATAATGAAATTAGAGTATAAAATAATTATTCATAAAATATATTATTATAATAAATTATATGTAATGTATTATATAATTACATAATTTGTTAAATATTTTAAATAGTTAAAATGTTAAAAGATAAGAATAATAAAAGGAATATTCTTTTTGGTGTAAAATTTGGTGTAATGGGTTGGAGATGGAATAGTGATTTGGTGTAAAAACTATACCAACTTGATGTAAAAACTACACCATTTTGGGTTTTGTGGTTGGAGATGCTCTTAGGCAATGTTTTAAGAAGCCCCGCCTAGCCCGCCTAGACATTCATCTAGGCGCCTACCTAACGTCTAGACAGTACCTAAACTATCCACCTAGATTTTAGGGGCGTCTATGAGAATGTGACCCACTTGTGTGGACTGCATACTTTACACCTTGGTCATGATTTTTCTTTACTGCAGCCTCTATGTCCTCCAAACTCTTATAACCTCCAACTATAAACACCTTTTCTACCTCCTCTGACTTTTAGCAGAACCTCTTTCACCATCATTTAAATGAGAAAAGAAACCCACCTAGGTATTAGTCGGACGCTTATGCTTTCTATAACATTGACATTAGTTATTAATTATTCCGATTAAAAAAAAAAGTTAAACATTATAAAAAGCTTTGGCTCTAGACGTCACGTGCGTTGTCTAGGCTAACCCAGCGCTTTGCCCAACATTAATTTTAGGCAAAGGGGGCACCCAAAGCCTCCCAGGTCCCAACTACCGCTCATGACAGCGTGAGGCCGTTGAGAAAATTGAAGGCTCTTCTTCCCAACGCCTCACCTAACTTTCATCGATCATTCTCTTGGCCCCACCATTTAAACCCTAGTCTAGTTACGCTCATTTTTTGGGTAGGTTTTTAAGGGGGTGGGTGCCTTCGGGTTCGCAGTAGATTTCGACGCCTTCGAGGTTGTGGTCCCTGTTCCTCGGTACATCTCGCGATCCAACGCGATAGATTTGTTCGGATTTTGCACAAACAACCTCTCCGGCACGTCATTTAGCAAACTGGTCACGGTAAGCTTTAGCCGCTTTTAGGAACTGCTATTAATGTTTGTTCAAATCATTATCATATTCGTATAAATTTCGATCTCTCTCTTCTTGTCAACCGCACCTGATTGAATTACAATAAGAACAATTTTTCAAAACAGCCACATTTAAATTTTTATTTTTCAAAATCGACCTTTTTTTTTATTTATCAAAACCGACCCGTTTTTTTGATTAGCAGCCTAATCACCTTTTTAAATAGTCGGGGTTGCCAACCCCGATTATATAGGACATAAATTTTCAGGGTTTAAGGCTTCTAATTGATATTTAACACCCTTCTAAATAGTCGGGGTTGGCAACCCCGACTGTTTAGGAGGGTGATTAGGCTGCTAATAAAAAAACGGGTCGGTTTTGATAAAAAAAGGGTCGATTTTAAAAAATAAAAAAATATGTTTAGGGTTGTTTTAAAAAATTGTTCATTACAATAATGAAATTAATGATTTGCTTTTACGAGAGCCACATTTTGAGAGAAGAGACATGATTTTATAAGTAACTATAAGCTGTGAAGTTGAATTGTTTTTATAAGAAGATTTTATTTGAGAAGTGCGTACATATATGTTAATGATTTTCCATCTCATAGGTGATTTACTGCTAATTAATTAATAATTAATAGGCATTTAGTATAACACTCATAACTACTTATACAAATAAATGAATTTATACTATACAATACCGTACTGATAATTTTTATATTATAACTAAATATATTTACTAACATATAGAGCTAGATCGAAACCCGTGTGATATCATTGTGAGTCGGTAATGATTTTTAAATATAAAGCAAAGGAAATCAATATTTACGAGTTAAATAATATTGATTTACATGATTATATTACAAAGTTGTATTTTTATGTATCAAACTAAACTATTAGTAGTAACTAGATATACGATTATATAACACTAATACATAATTATAAAGATACATTATCATCTTGTGCATCATCAAACGAGAATATGTCAGTCAGTAGCCCTCGGAAGATTTAATACTTACGTTTGTAGGGGTTAAAATGTCAAAATATCCTGAAAAGCTATAAGCCGCCTTGTCTGCTTCCGAACCTCGTCTCCTCTACGCACTTTATAACGTCCAGGAGAAAGAAAAAAAAAAGCGAACTTTTCTTTTTCTCCAAATTTACTTGGCTTTTCGTCGCGATTATTACATTAAGATTATATTAGATTAGATTTTTTTTGTATTGGAATATGCTTCGCTTCAGTCGCTCTCATTCTCATCGCGGGTCCGTTCTCTTCATTCATCTCATCTTTTAAAAGAGGAAGGCGTCCAATCGGTAATCCTGTAATTTTCCATTTTCGTGGGTTTTTTCCTTTAAAAATTAGTAATTTGGTTTGTTTCTCTAAACTGGGTGGTTGTCAAATTTTGGCCTTGGTGTGAGATTTTGATTGTCCGCGATCTTGGTTCGTTTCTCTTCTTTGAATTTTTCTACAATTTAATCTTAGATTTTTGGGAAAATTTCTCATCTGGGTAGAGAAAATTTTGACATTTTCTCATCTGGGTAGTTGAAAATTTTAGTTGATTATTGATGATTTATCTGGGATTGTGTGTTAATAATTATTTGAGGGGCTCTAGAAAACAGAATGAAATAGTATATCAAAATGACATTTTATTATCTGGGTAGTTGGAAAAATTAGTTGATTGTTGATGATTTATCTGGGATTGTGCGTTAAGAATTATTTGAAGGGGTAATCGAAGTCAGAATTAGATAACAGATAAATTAGAACTTCTTTTATTCCTGATTTGGGTTGTTAAATATAGGTTTTCGTGCCAGAGGTCTCTGTAAGACTGTCATTGAACCTGGGGTTTAAAATTAGTACTATTTGTTGTTTAGACCTAAAAATTTCAAGTTCTATGATCTGGGTTGTCGAAAAGATCGTACCTTGGGCAGATGTATGCTGTAGAGAAACTCAGCAGCTACATCACTCGAGGAGTTTACACCGTCTCTGGACCCTTTCACCCTTTTGGTGGAGCTGTAGATATTATCGTGGTCCAGCAGCAGGATGGGAGCTTCAAATCCTCACCATGGTATGTTCGGTTCGGTAAATTTCAAGGAGTTTTAAAGGCAAGAGAAAAGGTTGTCACCATTTGTGTCAATGGAGTTGAAGCTGGGTTCCACATGTACTTAGATCCCAGAGGAGAGGCTTACTTTCTTAAGGATTCTGATACAGAAGAAGGGGAGGACTTTGAATTATCTCCACCTTCATTCGGAGGTGAAGTAGATGAAAAGGTCAGGAGTTTGAGCAAGGCCCAGAGCTGCAATTTTGATGGAGGTCAGAGGGAGCCAATTGTTCCTCTTGAGAATGCGAATACAAAGACTGTTTCAAGGGCTAATTCGAGGAGGTCTAGGATATTTGGGCTTATGTTTGGGAATAAGTCGATGAACGAAAATGACCAGGGAGCCAATGTTGATGGGTTGAGGTCATTGGAGCATGCAGAAGTTGAAGCTGATCTCTTAGAAACTAAGTGGTCGAAAATTCACCAATCAAATGACAACACCAATGATAGTTTTATGGAAAAATGTGATGAAAGTGTTATTGACAACAAAATTGTTAGTTCTTATGAGGATGGCATGGTTGTTGATTTTCCAACGACTACTGTAAGTACAGAGCAGTATGCAGAAGTAGCAGTTCATAATTCTCCAATGGTAGCTTCTAAAAGTGTTGGTGATGATTCAAATACTGGAGAATCAGTTGATTCCAGTGGTGAGATATTGAGTGATAACCTTCAGCCTAATATTGTCAGAGAAGTGCATTTTGAAGACACAATTACTCAAGCTTCAACCTTAAGAACCCATGAGAAAGTCCTCGAGGTTTACACCTCGGAAACCGGTGATTTGGGTGATAAAAGTAAATTGGTTTCTGAATCTGTGTTATTAGAATCTGATGAACATATTATATCATCAAAGGGATCTGTTCTTGATAGGTTTACAAATTATGCACAAATTATTGGTTCAATGACTGATGAACTGACTGTGGTAGCAGTAGAGCATGAATCAGAAGATACGAAGCGTGACTCTCAAGCTCATCTTGAATCAGATAGAGCAACAGATAGAGAAAATTATCATGTTCCTGCAGCCAATGATATTTCCTCTATCTCAAACAAAGGTCAAGAATTCGAGAATGTTGGCAATGAATTTGATGGAGAAAAACATTGCCTTCAGAATAGGCTTAACATTTCTCAAGATGAATCCAGTTTCCCATTGTCAGAGAGTTTGGAGGATGAGCAATTGCAATTCAGTGATATTGACAGTTTTGCTGTTAAACAGGTCAACCACGATGTACACAGCATTTTGATTGAGGAATACGAGTCAAAAAATACAAATGAAGAAGAATGCTTTGAGAGGGTGGAAGGAAGTCAGACTAGTCCACTTGCTATTCCCATAAGCACACCTCGGTTGTCAATAGAATCTGAACTGTTAACCAAATCTTTACCCATCATCTGCTCCCAAATCCATGACCTTGAAATCTCCAGTCTTCTTCACCCTGTAAGCTGCTCGTTAGATATTAATGTTGGAAGCTCTGAGAAGAATTTTCTGAAGAAGGAGATGTCTCACTTCACGAAGTTGGCATCAGATTCCAACTTTATATCTGAAGCTGCTGCTACAGCTGTTGGATCTGAGAAAAGGGAAGGCCATAATGGCAACTTACTTAATCCTACTGCTGGTAAGTAACACACATACTCACATTTTACATTCTCATGCTCCCTTTATGATTAGCAAATGCATCAATAATCTCCTTTTGCTGAATTAATACATCTCTAGAACTTAACCAAAGGTATCTTGTCCTAGAGAGGTCATATATGCTTATATTATTTTCTTGATCTAAATTCTTGTTTCATGCTGCCTTATGCTTACACTTCGTCCAGAGTTGTCCCTCTGCAAACATTTACTATTTGAGGGCATGGGCGCGGATGCCGCTTCCAGAGTATTTGAGGCTAATAAGGTGAACCTTGAGAAGTTTTATAGTTTCGGTCCATCAATTGTGAGAATGATAAGCTAGTAGTGAGAATTGGAGGTCACTATATTTCATGGGATGCAGCCGCACCTATTATTATGGGAATGCTTTGTTTTGGGCAGGAACAGATACTTGAACCTCAAGGTAGGATTGCTGTGGAACAGTATGAGAAGAATTCCAGTGCTGATCCTTCAGCGGCTATAATTCCATCTGAAGGAAGCTGGAGACTCTGGCCGTTCAGTTTAAAGAGAGCAAAAACCATTAGTACTGTGCATTCAGCCCCTGAAAATGTGGATGCTTCTCCCTTGAGAAGTCAAAGCTTGGCGGTTCACGATTATATGCTAAGAGCTAAATTCCCTAAAAAGAAGGTGCGGTCAATTACTCCGACTTCAGAGGATCTTGCTTCACTGAATCTTAGAGAAGGTCGAAATATAATAACATTTACCTTCTCAACTGCAATGCTTGGGCAGCAACAGGTTCATTTTAATTTCCTTTAGTCCTAGTTTACCCCTTAGTCTACCTGTACCATGCCTTTCTACCCTGCGTGCTGAAATCTTTGTCTGTTTCAGGTGGATGCTAGGATATATTTATGGAAATGGAATACTCAAATAGTTATCTCAGATGTCGATGGAACAATTACCAAGTAATTTCTGTCTTCTTTTCTTGGATTGAAAACTGGTTTACTTTATTTATGGTTGATGCTTGAATTATATACTTCGATTGTCAAATCCTGAGACGGTCTTTCATCTTGTTATGTCAACTGGTTGGTGGGTGATACGTGTTAACGTACGTTGTCGCTCACTTTTGTGGTGCACTCTATCCTGATTTACATATTTTCTTCAGGCTTGGGTTTGTTCTACCCTATTTTATTTGGGTACTTCTATTTGAAGCCATACCAGTGTATGACACATACTCGTACCCGCAACCACACCATCACTTCCTTGGACACTCTTGAGTGCATGGATCCATTTATTTGGACGTGTACTCAATTATATAATGCATTTTTGATCTAAAACAATCGTTGTACACTTCTTGGACGGATATTCTGCAAAGATCTACTTTGTGACACTTGTTGGACATGAGTCGGGTTCGTTGCAGTTCGTACCTAGTTTAGAACTATATAACTTATAGAGTCATTTGAATTTCTAGTTAAAAAACTAGCGAGTTTCTAATTTATAATCTACATAAATGTAAGCATAAAAATGTTGTAGGAATTTTAATTCTGATAACTTGTGAATGAAAAAACAATTTTGATATCATGTAAATTATTAGTTTCAATATGTGTATGGTACCCTACCTTTTACATGTTTTACAACTTTGCCAAAGCAGGCTGATTCTTATTATTCTCAACATCTTAGATGCTACTTGCAATTTACAATGTCTAATGGTGATCAAATTATACGCTTTATGTAACATAAATGATGTGACTAGGGCACATGTGCCTCTGGACTGATAACTATCATCTGTAATCTGACTCTTATGACCTTCTCATTAAAATTTTCATTTTCATGCTGCCTTATGTTGACATTTTTTTTTATTCTAAAAAAAAGTGCATAACTGAGACTACCTGATCATCAAGCTAATGAGAGTTACAGAAAAAAATATTATTTTTTTTCTTTTTCTGCTTTTCATCTTCTCATCTTTGAAGGGGGCTTTTCCCCTCTGCATATGTTTTGTTTTTGCACTCTAAATAGAAAAGAACATCTCACTCTCAGCAGGTAGGATTTGGTATTTGGTACTTCTGCAGATTTAATAGTTTAGGGTCAACTTTGCTGATAAAGCCATGATGTTAGTTTTAGAGACATTGAAGAAACGGTTGCTTAGATGTTAGCTGAGAAAGAGATGTGCAAGAACCATCAAGATTACTTATATTCTCGGTAAACTTGGCAACTAAGTTAGTTAGGTCACTCCATATCATGTCAGATTATGAAACGATATGTGTAACAGCTAATACTTTGTCACATAGAATAGTATCAATGTATATTTATTTTGTGTCTTTCTCGATTATTACCATATTAAAATCCCTGTTTATTCTTGTCTTATGCATGAAGTTTAATCTTTATTTTTTGCTGATCTTATTACTTGTGTTTATTTACAGATCAGATGTTCTTGGTCAGTTTATGCCTCTTGTTGGTAAAGATTGGTCCCAGACTGGTGTTGCACATTTGTTCTCAGCAATTAAGGTTTGGACAATTCATTCCACAGTCATTATGATAGTATTTCACATTTGATATTTATCGTTTGAACCTTTTTTGCAGTCATTATGAGTTATAATTTGGGAAGACTGATGGGGACATTGCTAGCCCTCCTTTTCAGATTAAAAAGAATATATTCTTGTAGTCTTCTTTCTTAATGTAGTAAGCTTCATATGTAATTGTGTTGTAGTCTGTTGCAGGAAAATGGATATCAATTGCTTTTTCTGAGTGCACGTGCAATTTCTCAGGCTTATATAACAAGGCGGTTCCTTTTCAACCTTAAACAGGTGATGCATGAAGAAGGGGTTTATCCAGATTATTTCATTTAAACTTCAAGATTGTTGTTTTGCACTTGTATTACATTAACCAGTAATGCTAATTTTTTCCCCCTAAATGAAACTGTTGTATTTTGCTTCCTAGGATGGAAAAGCACTTCCTGACGGTCCTGTTGTAATATCTCCTGATGGTCTCTTTCCTTCACTTTATAGAGAAGGTGATCATATTTAAGCTTTTCAGTTTGTTGTTGCCATGAGTATCCTCCTTGTTTGATGATTTCCCAAGACACTTACCACCTCGGTTAAAGAATCTCAGAACTAAATTGGCTTCCCGTAAAATTTGGCTATCAGTTTTAGACTTCTAATGCTTGATGTATAAATGAGCATCATTGAAAGGGAAACAACCAAGAGTCGCCATGAATTTTTGAAAAGCTAACCTTTTCTATTGTACCTTCTTGGAGTTCAGGGAAGTTACAGGTTTGATTTGTATGTTTATGGCTCGTAGTGTGAATTAAGAACACTTGAAGAATAAGCTCATTTGTGTTAGTATAATTAGGTGTCAAAATAGATGGTCCCCAAGACATAGTGATGCTTAATTAGCATTGTCTGCGAACAACTAAGGGTTGTTCTATGAAAAACAAGGCTAGAGAGCGCAGCATAATCTGGTTACTGCATAAGCAATCCGTCATCTACAATAGATTTTTAAAGCGATCGAAAATTTTAGAAAAGTACATATTATGAAAGAAATTGGATATCAAGATTGACGGATTCTTAAAGTTCCTGCCATGGCACCAAAATTCTAAAGTTGTGACGAAGGTTTAGGGTTATAGTTTTATATGCTAATATACCCTTGCAGGTTAGGCACCCTTTTTAAATGAGCTTAAAAGCTAGCATATATGGGATGTTACTGAACACATAGTTCTAAAAAAGCTAGCTTATAAGACCAAAAAATGAGCTTCCCCCAACACCCTCTTAAAGTGATGGAAAATTTGAGAAAAGTACATATTATGAAAGAAATTCAAAACTTAAACAAGATTGATGGATTCTTAAAGTCCCTGCCGTGGCACCAAAATTCTGAAGGCACCAAAATTCTAAAGTTATGATGAAGGTTTAGGGCAATAGTTTTATATGCTAACATGTCCTTGCTGGTTGGGCACCTTTTTTATGGCCGTGGACTCACGCAGTGGTACCTATTTTACAAGAATTCGCTTTTAATTCATGGCCTTGGGGATTTGAACAGGGTTATAGTTTTATACTCAACCAAGGGTGATGGGCAAATCGAAAGAGCTTTTCTAAAAAGTACTGTAAAAAATGTCAAGGAAGTGCCCCACTGTAAGAGCATGGAACTCGGCCAATGCTGGATTTCAAATTGTGATTCATGAGGAAGATAATTTGGAGTTTGACATTCTGACTCTCAATAGAACCTGCTAGAGTTCTGCTAAAAGGAGGATAAAAGATAAAAATCTCATAAAGAAGAAGATGATTTTGCTACATGATCTGTCAAGCTGTTAAACATTTATATTCATGCACCAAATCTTCATGGGGAAACTTACGGAATCTAAACTGGAACAATCCTAAAACAATAAACTTTCAAACATAATAAAAATAATACTATGGAAAGATCTAAGCATGCTCTCTTTCTAGTAGTACTGATGTTCAATCGGTAAAACTATTGCTTCTTCACAAGTAATATTATTGTATTGACATTAACTGCTCAACCTAAAGTAAATTTCCAATGCTAACTTGTGCTAGAGTAAGTTTTTATCTGGTTTTAAACATTTTAGCAGATCTTGCAGATTCTTGATTGATGAAAGATTTTAAAATCTTTGGCAGACCTTGCAGTATCTTGATTGATGAAGAAGCACATATTAAATATTCAAACCTACATATGGTTGTATGTCAGTGTGTATTTCTGTAATTGAGCTTTAAACTACTGGTAACACATAAATCAACTGGTAACACATAAATCAACAAACAATAGTGTTAGCAACTTGTTATATTCTTCTATTTCATATTCGACAGGTAGAATTGTTGATCGAGTGTACAAAGATGCTTTGGTCACAATAAATTTAGAAGGTTCTTCAATTCTTTAATAAAAGGTCCTTACTCCCGTAGGCACATATATTATTAGAATAATTGAACTACTAATTGTTCTTGAAGGCATTCATGTTGTTTACTTTTTATTCACTGTCTTGAGCGTAAACTTGATGCAGTTTTCCGGCACTTCTCCATTGTTTCTAAATATATTGTCATTGTGAATCACATTTGCTGAAAATGATTTATTAACTTCATTGATTGTAGTTATCAGAAGAGCTCCTCATGAATTCAAGATCTCATGCTTGGAGGTGAGTCTGATACTTGTATTGATATCTATTATTTCTGTTTCCTGAATTTAGTGTTTTTTATTTAAGAAAAGATGAAGGACTCAAATTTCTGAAAGTATTGGGAAAGTCCTATTTCTCTCTTCTGTGGATGCGCAACATGGATGTTGCAAATTCCAACATATGAAATTCTGTATATATATCTTTAGTAACTTTTCTTATATAAGAGCCACATGTTGTGTATCTTTTTCATTTCCTTTTGCGTATGTTTAAATTATAGCCACCAATTGAGATTGATGATTTCTCTCTATGTTAGGTACTTTTGATATGGGAATACAACTTAACCTTTTTCCCCCTTTAGTTCAATTTTAAATATTAGTTTCATTTGTGGTCATCTTGATATTATTACTTGTAAACAATCTATAATTTCTTCATATTTCAGATTCTTTTCAAGCCTCTATGTACCATGTCTTCTATGTGTTATTCAATTTCTTATGACTGAGAAATATGAACAAGGATGGGTATGACATGACATGTAAATTCCACAGAAAGTAGGAGATGGAGAAATACTACGTGAGTGGATATCACTTGTATAATAATCAAATAATGGACTAGTTGGTGCATGCATATTAGCAAACATCTATTATATATTAAGCTAATATATCTGCGCACTTGTGTGGGTGGGTGCGGGTATGGGTGTGTATGTGTGTGTGCATATATGTCAAAGTTCATTTAACACTTTTTTTAAAATACTATTTGCCATCACACACACAGACTTTGTTTTTTCTGATTCAATCATTTGCTTGTGTGTGCGCATATGGGTGGTGGGTGAGTGCGTGTGTACTTGGGTGTGTCAAAGTATGTAACATTTTTTACTTTTTGACATGCCCTTAGACGCACATTTGCTCGTCTTTTGTGATTCCATCATTTGCTTTGATTTTTTGCTTATATTTATTTTGTAACTAGCAGTTCAAAATTATTTTAAACTAATTGTGGAAGATTTTCCTTTATTCAGGACATAAGGGCATTATTTCCTCCAGAATGCAATCCCTTCTATGCTGGCTTTGGCAATAGAGATACTGATGAGTTCAGCTACCTCAAGGTGGGCATTCCTAAAGGAAAAATCTTCATTGTTAATCCGAGGGTGAGATATCCTGATCCTGTTACACTGATCATCAATAGAATTATGGAAATTTTGTAAATGTTGTTAAAAACTAACATCATTTTATTGCTGTCTGAGTGTGTTTAGGGCGAAGTCACAGTGCACCGCCGAGTTGATAACAAATCATATACCTCACTTCACACACTAGTGCATGGCATGTTTCCACCCATCTCCAGAGTTGAACAGGTCAAATCTTATTTTTGAAAACAAATCCCTTCAGGATAATAACTAAATAAATAACCATGAACGTATCCCACACATTCATTTTAATTTTCTAGTCATATAAATGTAACATGTTTAATTTGCACATGCTTTTCTTTACAGGAAGACTTCAATTCATGGAACTACTGGAAATTGCCTCTTCCTGATGTCAACTTTTGAGCGCCAACATATACTCACACTCCATGATGAGGTCAAATGCCTATTTGCGTGAAAGGGCGAAGAGTGTATTGATATCCATCACTCAGAATCTTTCAGGTTGGTTAATTTCTGAAATTTAGAATTTTCTGTGATTCTGTAGGATGAAGTTTTTTACGTGTGAAAATTTAAAGACTAATGCCTTTTGATATAGTATTTTAACTTCTTTTTTAAGTGACCATTTACTTTTATTTGTTAAAATCTATGTGACAGCGGTGATATACGTTGTTAAAAGGGAATATAATAGTTTGTTCCTACTTCCTAGGACATAATCTATCCAAAGTGGTTTATATGACAAAATAATTACTCTTCCAAGTACTTGAGGTTGATTTTTACCATCAATAATGGAACCATTTTAGAGGGGTTTTTCCTTATAGTTGACCGTGTTCATGTCCAAGGAGTTAGGTCAGTGCTTAAAGAGGTTCAGAACTCTTCTTACTCATTAGCCATCAAATGAAGAGAAAAAAGAATAAAAAGAACTGTGCATATCCACTCTGCTCATCACATTATATACATCTACGGGATTTATGCAACTTGTTTTTTTTTTTGGCTTCCAATTCGATTAGGAATCAAAATAATTTTTTCATGTTACTAAAAAACCTTTAATTTTGGTGTTTTTTGATATTCGTCCCCAAAAAATTTCCTATTCTGAAATTATTCCTCCGAATCTTTCAAGTGAAAATTTGTCCCTTTACTTAGAGATCAGTTGATTGAGGAAAGATTTTGTTTATCTTAGACATTGTTGGGTGCATTACCATTTAGACCCATATGCATTCAAACCCGAACCTGATTTAGGTTGATTTGGGTTTAGAAAAGAGGATGGTCGGACTGCACAAAATTTTGGTTGTTTTTATCTAGATTTGGGGGGCTAATTTCAAAATATGAAAGATTTGGGAGACTAATATTAAAAAAACCCTTTAGTTTTCCATTACTTAATGGAAGTTAATGGTATTATAAGTCATATGAGGGGATTCTCTTATATACAATGATATTACTCCATATCAACCAAGTGTTGCTACGAGGTTTCTCTCTGAGTAAATATCCTCTTAGAATGCCCTGCACCGTGCAGGGTGTTCTGGGCCAACCGATTGAGTTAGTAGGGGGACAGTTTAGTCCTTTCACTACCTCCTAATCGGTTATCAGAACCCCGTACTGTGCCTTTCATTGCCTCCTAATTGGCTATTAGAACCCTGTACTGTGCGGGGGTCTAATAGGATCTCTACTCTCTCTCATCCTTTATTTACTTGGTGGAGATTGAGTCACATTATTGCCATGGAAGGGAATCCCCTCACATGACAAGGTTATCCATTGTTCTCCATTTAAATACATACATAGCTTAGAAATGTAATGAAACACATTTAAGTACATTTAAGTGCATAGTTAAAACAATATACAATCATCTTATTAGTCTAGATCTTTTCAAACAAATTTATTCATTTATTCGTGGATTGTAATTTAAATAACAATTATTGCAGGCCAACTGCCGTTGGTTGAAAGAGCATCATATAGAGGAGCAGAGAGTGTATATATACGTATGGAGAGACCTAGATTGCACATACCTTGAAAGTTTTTATAGTTAATCTCCCATAAGACCCATCCAAGCAACGGTGACTTTTCTGTACCCATTATTTTTTATTGTATGTAATGAGAGCAGAACCGGTTGCAATTGCAATCGACATTACTTGTTTATAATAGCAAACTCGTTCTTTTCGAGTAATGGGTGTGCATGAGATAATATACGATGCATTGTTATTGTTGTACTGTTCATTTATTGAACTGTGACGCAACCCAATTTGAGAATTCTTAGAGCATGTTTGGGAACTTGGGATTATAATCCACAAATGGATTACAATCTAAATGGATTATAATCTAGAGTGTTTGGTAAATTTAGTGGACTATAATCTATTTTCAATATAGAGTGTTTGGCAGATGAATGAGTTATAATCTACAATTGTTGTCAACATTACCACAATAGACGCGGCGTGGTGAGTTATTAAATGAAGTATTAGATTTTGTGAAATCATAAGGGGTATAATTGACTTTTACTTGGTCAAACCTCATATGGCGTAAAAGCCACCACTAGCTTATTTTTTGTGCCTTATGAGCTAAAATAAGCTAGGTTTGCATGAGGAATTCACTTTCACTCTCTTAGCGAGATCGGCAATGTCAGCATCTTTTAGAGCGTGGACTCAATATATAGATCTTTTCTTCCAAGTTTTCAAGTACCTTTAGGGTCTGTTTGGTTGTTTTCTTGGAAACAAAAGAAAAATAAAATATTGGTGGAAACCATCGAAAATGGTTTCCTCCAATTTCCTTCACAAAACCCATGAAATGGGTATGCTTAATCATGGGTCACATCATCCGATGAGAGATTGCCGCATCATCCCTTTTCTTGGTCTTTCTTTGTTTCAAGAAGTGAACCAAACAAAGAAAAAGGAATTTATATAAGAAAGATGACGTGGACATCATATTGTTGAGTTTTCTTCCATTTTCCATAAAAAATGGAGCAACCAAACAGCCCCTTAGAAGTTCCCATGCTGTGTCCAAATTTAAGTATAAAGCTGTTGTGCATGTATATGATTAACATGATCTGGTAGTGACGGGACACATGATTTTCTTTAAAGAAGATGAATCACATGGTCCGTTGTTGTGTTGAAACACATGATTCTGTGGGAAGTGATGAAAGTATATGGTTCTCTTTTTTTAGGATGAAGCACATGACTCCTTGTGAGATGAAGAACATGATTCTCTGTGACATGAACGACATGATTTTCTGTGTGATTCCGCTTAATGGCGTAGTACAGACGAGCTCGTTCGAGGAGACGATCAAGATAAAAGGGAGAGCTTTGTTGGCATATTTTACGAATTCGTTTTCTGAAGGTTTGTTTGAGATAACTGTGGTACCTGGCATAGACTAAATGGCATTGAGAATATGTTTTTAGAATTTACTAGGTCACTTGCATTTATTATTCTTGAGAAACATAAAAGTAATAGTTCCAAACTCAAAAGTTACCTATAAGATTTTAAGGGTTGCTCTCATATATTTATTAAATACTAAAAAGTCATAGAATTTAGAGTACTAGATGTTACTAGCTAGGATTACACGGTCATATACATTTATTATTTATTTGTTAGAAACTCAAGAGTGTTGGGGACATTAAAGTTATAGTTAGGAATAAAGAGTTTAAGTCTGACATTAAGGATTACCCTTATATTTATTACTAAGAGATTGTTTACCTATAAATAGGATTTGTATGAGAGTGAGAATGTGAGGGAGTGAGAAAAATGTAGTTTCCATAGTTGTATCCTTTTACTCCTTCATACGCATTGTCCCTCGACCTGCACGCAACAGGAGCTTCATTCACCAGGCTGTCCCCATATTGACTTCTGCCAAGGAAAGCAACAAAGTTTCTTTTCAGCTAGATAATATAGGGTGTATTTGGTAATCGAAATATTTGTTTTTGTTGTGTTTTTTAAAAAAACACCATGCCATGATGTTTTTTTTTTCCAAACATGTTTTGAAAACACCTTTTTTTCAAACATGTTTTTTTTTTTCAAACATGTTTTGAAAACACCCACTAGTAAGATAATTTATAGCATAGACGACTTAGTCATGTGTCTAATAAAAGACTGGAGAGTCTTATTCAATCTAGAGTACTTGGTCCTGTACCATCTAGTTCTAGTATTGAGTCATGTACTGGTTGTAAATTGGCTAAATTCACTGCTTTACCATTTAAAAACGTTCTCTTGTTGCTTCTCTTTGTTCGTCAAAACCCTCTACCTCGCTTCCTGCCAATTTATGGCATAGACGACTTGGTCATGTGTGTAATAAAAGGCTGGAGAGTCTTATTCAGTCTGGAGTACTTGGTCCTGTATCATCTAGTTCTAGTATTGAGTCATGTACTGGTTGTAAATTGGCTAAATTCACTGCTTTACCATTTAAAATGAGTACATTCGTATCCACCCCCTTATTTGATTTAGTACATTCTGATATTTGGGGGTCGGCTCCTTTGCCTTCTTCATTTGGCTACTTATATTATGTTAGTTTTATCGACGATTTCTCTCGTTTTACATGAGTTTACCTACTTAAGAATCGCTTTGACGTACTTACTGCTTATCAAGCCTTCACTACTATGATTTTTACTCAATGACAATCTCGTATTAAAGTTTTCCGTTCTGATTGTGCTAAAGAGTATCTATCCTCTACTATGCGCTCTATCATGTCCTCTCATGGGACTATTTTTCAACAGTCATGTCCCTACACTCATGAGCAAAATGGTGTTGCTGAACGCAAACATCGTCATATCCTCGATACCACTCGATCCATGCTCATTTTTTACTTTGTTCCTCGTCGTTTCTGGGCTGATGTCATTCTCACCGCGACTCATGCCATTAATATCACTCCATCTAGCTCTCTTTCTGGTGCTACTACTTATAGTCGTGTTTATACTCATCCTCCCCGTTATGGTCTAGTCTGTGTTTTTGGTTGTCGATGTTTTGTTCTTCTGCCATCTCACGAACGTAATAAATTGTCTCTCAGAGCTGTTTCTTGTGTCTATCTAAGAATTAGTTCAGAACATCAAGGTTATCGTTGTTATGATCCCGCAACTCATCAAGTTCATATATCTAGTCATGTTCAGTTCGAAGAGGATTCTCCATATTATTCTGCTTGATGACTTTAATTTCCTCCACTCTACTGATCATGCTTTCCCGTCAGTTGCATCACCCACTTTTTCACCTCAGTTTTTCTTTCGAGATCTCACTGACATCTCTCTATCTCCTTCTGTTGACTCTTCCTCACCCGAGCATTCTCTTACACCATCTGATCCTTATCCCGTGGACACAACTCTCACTTAAGAACATATTGTTGATCTCCACGCACCTGCGCCAACATCTCCCCCGCCTGAGGTTCCTCTTGCTCTTCGTCGAGGCAAACGCCCACATGTCATGCTTGCCCGGTATGCTTCGGTTACTTCTTATTCACCTATCTTTCATAACTTTCTTGCTTCCATTCATACTACTGTTGAGTCAAAGTCCTATCAAGAGGCAGTTTAAATTCCAGAGTGGCGACATGCTATGGCTGAGGAATTTCAAGCCTTTCAGCAAACTCATACCTGAGATGTTATTTCCTGTCCTCCTGGGATCTCTCTTGTTGACAGTAAATGGATTTATAAGGTTAAGTTTCGTCCTGATGGCACCATTGAACGTCGGAAGCTCGTTTAGTGGCTTGAGGTTTTACTTAGCAACAAGGTATTGATTATGAGGAGACATTTGCTCCTATTGCTCAGATGCCCACTGTTCGTACTCTACTTACGGTTGCTGCTGCTCATCACTGGCCCTTATACCAGATGGATGTCAAAAATGCTTTTCTTCATGGTTCTTTATCCGAGATAATATATATGCAATCGCCTCTAGGGTTCAATATTCCTCCATGACATGTATGTCTCTTTCGCCGTGCTGTTTATGGTCTCAAGCAGGCACCCCACGTTTGGTTTGAGTGTTTTCGCGATGTCGTGCTCAAGGCGGGCTTTATAGAAAGTCATCAAGATGCTTCTCTGTTTGTTCGCACTACATCGTATGGCAGAGTTTTATTACTCATCTATATAGATGATATGATCATTACAGGTGATAATGTGGCTGGTATACAGTACATAAAATCTCAGTTGTAACAACAGTTCCACATGAAGGATCTTGGATCTCTTTGGTATTTTTTTGGTCTAGAAATTTCTCAAAACCCGCGGAGTTTACTACTATCTCAACAGAAGTATCTCTCGGATATTCTAGATCGAGCTGAGCTAACTGACGATGCAACTGTCGATACTCCACTCTAACAGAATGTTAAACTTCGCTCTACTGATGGTGAGCCTCTATCTGATCCTACCCGATATTGATATCTTGTTGGCCAGTTGGTCTATCTGTGCATCTCTCGACCGGATATCTCTCATGCTATTGGCATTGTCAATCAATTTGTTAGTACCCCACGTTCTGTATACTATGCTGTCTTATTACGGATTCTTCGGTATATCCGGGGTACTGGCACTCGCTCTCTTTTGTTTCCTACTACATCTAAGTTAGATCTTTGTGAATATTTTGATGCCTATTAGGCTGGTGATTCCACTACCAGAAAATCTACCACAGGTTATTGTATATTTCTTGGTGATTCCCTTATTTCCTGGCAGAGTAAGAAACAAGATGTGATTGCCCTTTTCAGTACTGAGGCAGAGTATTGTGCAATGTCCACAACAGCTAAAGAGATTTCTTCGTCGTTTTCTCAGTGATTTCGGTATTTCTGTTGCGACTCCTACTCCTCTCTACTGTGGTAATAAGAGTGCCATCCAGATTGCTAATAATCCAGTATTTCATGAGAGGACCAAACATATTGAGATCGACGCTTATTTTGTCCGTCAACACGTTATCAAGGACAAGACAATTCTACTTCCTCATGTCTCATCCGCTGACGATCTTGCAGATTTCTTCACAAAAGCCTTACCTGTTCATCGGTTCCAGTTTCTTATACGCAAACTCACTTTGTTTGATCCAACATGAGTTTGAGGGGGGCTGTTGATAATAATGTATTGTAATGGGTTTTAGTCCCCACATTGGTTGTGAGAACACACATCACCCTCTTATACTTGTATAAATATATGTGTACACTCAATATTCAACTCAAGGGAAATTTACCCAAGATTTTCTCTCTCTTACTTTAACAGATATACCCTGATGAATTCTTCTTTTACCCGTGACTCGCAGAGTTCCCGACTCCTGAACTTCTGTGGGGAGTTCTTGACTAGTAAGACCTACAGATATGTAGGAAACATTTGAAATATTCCAAATGTCGCAAAATGACATTCTGACAGGCGTATCAGATACGAGACATATTTCCCTATTACAAATTCTACCCTTGCATAGAAAATTATGAAAATGGAATTCTATTAGTTGAGATATAAGCTAAATAATTGTCTCAGAATCATATTATCAATAAAGAGAATCAATCAGATCTAATGAATTTATTAATGAATCCTTCGTTTAGTATCATTAGTTTTTCAGGGAACAAATACACAACTTGTTCTCAGGATAATAGTAATGTGTGAGCCTCAAGCTATAACAATGTCAGTACACCTGCATGATGTGTTGCATTTTATTCAATAAGAATCAATCATAATTTGTGAGCCTCAAGCCATAACACTGTCATACACTTGACCTTCAAGAAAATCTTCCCTTCTTAGCTTCTTGCAATCTACAAGCCCAATCTATACGCTTTTCGCCATTGACGTAAAAGAGCTCATAAAATCCTCTCGCAACTCCATTTAGGTACTACAGAATAAACAATATCAGTGTACCACACAGTCTAAAGACTTCATGTGGGGAGAAAAAAAAAATGTTTACTCCTAGACTTACCGGATATCGATGCCAGGTTTGTTCCTAACAGCGTCGGGAACTTGGCCTTCAAGCTGATTATTTTGTAGGTGTCTGCAAGCCATAAGATCGAAACACGAGTTTTATATATTATCTTTTGTTCATATGGAAGATTAAGTCATTCTTCGAAGAAATTTGGGGGCTTACAGTTCTTTAAGCTTCGGGAGATCTGCTAGAGATGGAGGAATTGGTCCTTTGAAACCGTTGTTTTCCAAACGCCTAGAATTGTATGAGTAGAAAAGAGAAGCTTCTGATCAAAGAAAGAATTATCTATATATATCAAGGGCGGGGGAATACAGAGATTTGAGGTATTTGAAGCTTACAGAGAGACTAAACCAGCTAAAGATTTGAATGCATCTGGAATGGGGCCAGAGAGTTTGTTATTGCTGACGTCTCTGCAAATAAAACGAGTTCTTCTTTACAAATTTCAAAACCATAGAACATTTTTGTGGATATTAATATTGATTTTTACTAATATTTAATTAGAGGAAAAGAAAGATACTCACATGCTTTCAATGCTTGTTAGCCTTCCTATGGATTGGGATAAAGTTCCAGATATACCAAGGTTTGTTAGATTCCTGTCAAAGCCAAAGGAGGGGCCATCATACAAAATTCTACTTTAGCTATTCTCTTCACAAGAAAACAATTTTTTTTGTTGTTCCCGAAACAAAATTAGTTTAAATATGGAAATAAATCTAAAAATGCTTACAATGAGACAATTTTGTAATAATTGACATTAAGAACAGCACAAGTCACACCAGTCCATGAGTATCCCTGAGGCAGGCAGGGATCACCACTCCAATCTGATGGTGGGTTCTGAAATTCTCTTGCCAATCTCGTCATTGAAATTGCTGTAAAAAAGAGCAACATCTATAGTAAAAAGAGTGAACTCAATATGGTAAATTCTTCTGGTTAAATTGCAAGAAACTTGATTAGTCTATAGCCTGTTTTAGTTTAAGAAAATCCTCCTCATCTATGACTAATATTAGTGAATCTGCTAATTTACGACGAAGTTTCCTTTTTCAGACTGTTGCATTTTACTAGATGTCTGTGTGAACGCGTGAAAACGCGTGAGGGATTTGAACGTGGGCCCCCCACGTTGTGAAGGATCACGTGAACAACAAATATGTTTTTCTCGTGTTGTTCAGCGGACAAAAGCAGGGGCCACAAAGCGTGTGAGTAGCAAGGCTAAGAACCAACGGGCCGTGCAAAGGGAATTCCGCATGAAGAGATGGAGAGATCTCTCTAATTATTCAGCGTTTTTTTCCTAGGTTCCGCGTGAAGAGATGGTTTCGGCAGCTATATATATATATCCCTTTTGAGTACCTAGGGCTTGGTGCAAAGGAAAAGAACGGGGAGGAGCAGATAGCTTTGGCGGCTGAAAAGAGAAAAGGCAGAGGATTAGGCTGTTGTTAAGAGAGAAAAAGTCTTTGGAGGCCGACTTTTTTGAGAAGAAAAGCAATGAGCCTATTTGAGGGTTTAATTTGTGAGAGTTGTGTGATTATAAACCATATTTGTATTCTTTTTCTCTCTAATAGTAGATCCCCCCTTGCCCCGTGGACGTAGGTAATTTGCCGAACCACGTTAAAATTGATTGTTCGTGCCGTGATTTGTAATAGAGAGTTTAGGTTCTCTCGATAGGTCAGTCCTAGAACTGATGAGAGGAAGAGCTGATATCCCACTTTGTTGAGATATTCGCTTTAGATTTTTGTTTCCTTGATGAGACGAGAATTCTTATTACGATCTTTCTCTCTTATTATGCATCAGAAACTCTACCGAAATTTTCGCTACGCACAACAAGTGATATCAGAGTCCAGATTCAGATCTAGGGTTTTATGTTTTGGTTAGAAGAGTATATCGATTTGAAAGCTCATCTAGGGCTTTGTTTGATGATAAATGTGGGATCTTTTGGTAAAGACTCTATCTTTTTAATTTTGGATCTATTCTTCGTTCGTTGGTGCATTGAGTAAGATGTCTGAGAAAGAAGGTGCTTCGGGTGTCGATGGTGATGCTTCTGGCGTGAAGACCATTCAGAGTGAATATCCACTCTATGAAGATAGATGTGGAGAAGTTTAATGGCACAAACAACTTTGGATTATGGAGATACGAGGTTTTGGATACGCTGAATGCATATAATTTGAAGGATACCTTGAAGTTAGATGGCAAGCCAAATGATATTGAAGAGAAGATTTGGAAGAAGATGAATCGAATGACGTGTGGTATGATTAGGTCTTGTTTGACTCAAGATCTAAAATATGATGTAATGAATGAGACTTCTGCGAAGAAGATTTGGGAGATTCTCAAAAGCAAGTATCTGACAAAGAGTGTTGAGAACCGCTTACATTTAAAGAGAAGACTTTATTGTTTCTAGTTGAAGAAGGGAACCTCAATTAGTGATCACATGAACACCTACACAAATCTTCTAGCAGATTTGGCGAATGCGGATGTCATTTTTAAAAATAAGGACAAGACGTTGCTGTTGTTGAGTTCCTTACCCGACGAGGATTATGAGACCTTCGATCTTACTCTGATTAATTGGAAGACATCTATTTCGTATAGTCAGGTGACTGCTGTACTTGTGAATTATCAGCTTTGAAAGAAGGATAATGAGGCTTCAGTTGAGCCGCTAGCAGAGGCGTTGGCCGCAAGAGGGAAGAGTCCAAACCGAAAAAATTAAAAGTCACAGTCTAGAGTAGAACATCCTACAATTGGAAAAGATCAGTGTGTTTGGTGCAAGGAGACTGATCATTAGAAGAAAGACTGCCCAAAGCTCGACGAATGGATGAAGAATAAGCAGAAGAGAAAAGGAAAGCAACCATTATCAGAAGCAAACATCGTTATATCGGATGGGGATGAAGAATAAGCAGAAGAGAAAAGGAAAGCAACCATTATCAGAAGCAAACATCGTTATATCGGATGGTAATATTTCTGACTCTTCTATTTATTCGTTTTCTATCAGTCCTACAGATAGCTATTCGGAGGAATTTGAATGGATGTTGGATAGTGGTGCGACCTATCATGTATGTCCTAGAAGAGAATGGTTCTCCAGTTTTGAGAAGCTGGATAGTGATGTGGTGTACATGGCTGATAACCTACATGCCAGATCCTTGGGATAGAAAGAATTCGCATCAAGATGTTTGACAGGGACTGTTAGGGAGTTATATAATGTGAGATATGTTCCTTCCTTGAGGAAGAACTTGATCTCGATTGGAGCTTTCGTTGGAGAGGGTCTGAATGTTCGAATTAAGGACATAGTTCTCAAGATTGTGGAAAACTCTCAGATTGTGATGAAGGGCGTCAGGAGGAATAACCTGCATTACTTGACTGGATGTATAGTGACAGGTGGAGAAGTGGTGACTTCTATTGATTCGACTAGACTGCGATATTTGGGGCTTGGCCATTCCACTATTGATTCCTTGTATAGATTGAAAGAGGGTACGAAAACTTGCAGTTTGAAGTCCAGTGAACATGTTAATGTGAGCAAGAAGACCGAGGTGAAGTTTGACACCTCTATTCACCGTGCTAAGGGTCATTCTGGAGATGTTCACGTGGATATTTGAGGGCCTTCCAAGGGAGCATCATTGGGAGGTAATAGATGTTTGGTTTCCTTTGTCGGTGGCTATTCTAGGCATGTTTGAGTTACAACCAAATCCCCATTGGAGAAAGTCCTAACAGTCTCTAACAGATTGAAGAAGTGTAAGATAGACAGAAAAGTGAATGTACTTCATTTTGATTTTGTTGGAGAGGTACAAGAGGGACCTGTTTCAGTATTGGAACCGAGCTCACGGCATTTCGAGACACTTCGTTGGAAATGAAATCTTAGGGTAACTAGATAGAGTGACAAATTTGGAGAACTGTGCCTTGCTGGAGGAGGATCAGTGTTTGTTATCAAGCAATGGTCTGTAGAAGAGTTTCTGGACTGAGGCTTCGACATATTTAGGTCATCCTATTAAAGAGTTGTCAACTGCTGTGATTGGAGGTAAAACTCAATTGGATATTTGGTCTGATAATGTCACATTGAATGGGGCTTCAATGAGGGAGCCGATTGACTCTCAGCAGGTGGAGAGTTTTAGACAGACCTTAGATGAATCGCAGTAGGTGGAGGATGATGCTACTCCACGTTGAGTGGAGATTACTCCACATACTTCAGATCATACTACATCGTTTGGGATTCCAGCTGAGGTGACACAGTTAGGGGATCATTTGATTTTGGATGCAGATGATGAGTTGGTTGATTCGAGTGTAGCTGGGGGATATAGTTCTCATTTGGATATGGCCATTGGTTCACCTCAGGTGGAGGTGTTTGATTTGTTACACTTTGAGGCCTTTGGAGGTGCTATCAGCCGCAGAGCTGATGATATTGAAGAAGGGTTGTGAACTCTTCTATTGGATTGAGGTCATTTGCGGTCATTTGGTGAACTACGTGAGACTTGATTCCTTGGGGAAGATGATACGTAGATAGTCTTTATGATGTAGCTGATTTGATGAGTTGATACCGATATTTGGAGAGTGTTCGCATTCTCTTTTGGGTTCTCGACTTGTTGTGGATTGAGTCAGTTGTTGTGAATTGTTTCACTTCGTACTGGACGTAACAAGTAAGACATTTGTTTTGGTTGCTGTCAGCTCAGTTTTGGGAAAACTTCACCGATGTAGAGAATTATAAACACGTGAAAATGCGTGAGGGAATTGAACGTAGGCCCTTCCCCACGTTGTGAAGGATCACGTGAACAACAAAAATGTTTTTCTCATGTTGTTCAGCGAACAAAAGCAGGGGCCACAAAGCGTGTGAGCAGCAAGGCTAAGAACCAACGGGTCGTGCAAAGGGAATTCCGCGTGAAGAGATGGAGAGATCTCTCTAATTATTCAATGTTTTTTCCCTAGGTTTCGCGTGAAGAGATGGTTTCAGCAGCTATATATATCCCTTTTGAGTACCTAGGGCTTAGTGCAAAGGAAAAGAACGGGGAGGAGCAGATAGCTTTGGCGGCTGAAAAGAGAAAAGGCAGAGGATTAGGCTGTTGTTAAGAGAGAAAAAGTCTTTGGAGGCTGACTTTTTTGAGAAGAAAAGCAAGGAGCCTATTTGAGGGTTTAATTTGTGAGAGTTGTGTGATTGTAAACCCTATTTATATTGTTTTTCTCTCTAATAGTAGATCCCCCTCCTTGTCCCGTGGACGTAGGCAATTTGCTGAACCACGTTAAAAAAAACATTGTTCGTGCTCTGATTTGTTATAGAGAGTTTAGGTTCCCTCGATAGGCCAGTCCTAGAACTGATGAGATGAAGAGCTGATATCCCACTTTGTTAAGATATTTATTTCAGATTCTTGTTTCCTTGATGAGACGAGAATTCTTATTACGATCTTTCTCTCTTATTGTGCATCAAAAATTCTGTCAAAATTTTCGCTGCGCACAACAGTCTGTACAGACAGTTTATATATAGTTGATCTTATGTCAACTTAAGTGGATGTCCACCAAACTTTTTAGCCACTCATTTATATATATAAGAAACATCTTCATATCTTTCATGGATCCCTAGGCAACATCAATGGCTAAAAAGTTTGGTGGACAACTTTTTGCTATCCACTTAAGTTGACACAAGTTTTACTATATATATATATATATATATATATAATAATATATATATATAGATTAATGGGTATCTTTGTCATAGGAGGGATTTTCTTCCTTGACGCCGCTAAAATCACATGATTGAGCGACATTATGGATGATCCCGCTCCGTTGAACTTGATCTACATATTCTTAAAACCCCAACACACCAAAGTTTGGGGTAAATCCGTCATTTTGACCCTCTATCGAGCCATATGAAAAGTTCTATTCATTCAAAACGTTAAAATTGATACGAGTGGATGAAGGGTCAAACAACGACGGGTTCACCCCAAACTTGGCGTGTTAGGTTTTAGAATATATAGATCAAGTTCAACGGAGCGGATCATCCACAATGTCGCTCATCATGTGATTTAGAGGCGTCATAGGAGGAAACCCCTCTTATGATAAGGATTACCCATTAATCTCATAATAATATATATATTATATATATATATATATATATATATATATATATATATATAAATAATATTTTCGTAATTAACCTTTAGTTCCCATAAGATGTCTACCCAGACATCTGAAAAACCAAACTCCATAGACGTGAGACTTGTCATTGAACCTTTACAGATCAGAAGGTTCTTGAAAAACATGATATAGATAAATAGGTTTCTTGTAGGTATATTTTTGAAACATATTTAGAGAAATTTTACAATGAAGTTTTCTTTTCATAAGTTTGAATTCTAATAGACATCTGGACAGACGTCCGCACTTTAAAATCCACAAATTTGGAGAGTTCAGAACAAAGTATAGAAAAATATTAGTTCTTGGATGAAGTTAAAGAGTTAATATTTTTATCATTAACCTCTAATTCTCATGACGACCTTCATCCAGACGTTTGAGGAACCAAACTTCATAGAAAAATTAATGATTTCCTTAATGATCATAGCTGTATAAGTTATCCTGAACATTTCAGATCAGGGGTTTCTTGTAAAACATGAGATAGATAAATGTGGTTTCTTGTACACTACCTGATACTTCACAACATGTTTAGAGAAGTTTACCTTCTTTAGGATGAGTCCTTGGTCCTATCGTCACAATTTGATAGATCTCACCTGCATTGATCAATGGACCCTTGTCCATATTAGCAGCCGGAGTCAATCTGATCTCCGTCTGACCTGAAAGAGGCCACTGCTTCCCATAAACCATTACACCTTTGGTCGAAGCATTCAGGCCAGAGTAAAATGTTTGGTTGTTAACCTTAACGTCGAAAACCCTCCACGAATAAGGGCTTGGGTTTCGGTTATCCTGGAAATACAATGCCACATAGTAACTGGAAGCTGGAAGATTCATCGCAGGCCAATTTATAATAAGCTCTTTGCCTTTGCTCTCTGTGAACCCTTTGCTCAATGCTTTTGCTGGTGGCATGTTCCATATATCGGTTGAGGTTATGTTGAATGCACAGTCGACAGTTAGTCTCTTTGGGTCATTTAAGGGCATCCAGTATCGGTTGTAGGGATCATCTGGATAGCTAGTTACAATATTGTGGTAACTGTGTTAGACTGCAGTGCTGGAATCATCATTGGAGTAATGTTCAATCCATGAAATATAAATTAAAACTTGAAAAATGTAAGCTTACGAAAGTTGAAAATATAGGAAAGTAGGCAGTAACAAGTTATGTCCATTAAAGACCTCAAGGTTAAGTGTAGAAACTATAAATGATAGGATTAATCACGGATAGCCCCCCTGTACTATCTCACCCGAATGCATATGGATCCTGTAGTTTCTACTTTTTGACTCTTTTACCATCGGAGGAAGATAAAATTGTTTTTTGACAAGTAGACATTCTGAGGATAAAGGGTCAAAAGAATTTCACTGGGGGGGTCTATCTGCAACAATAGAACTACAGCGGGGTCCATTGCAATTAGGCGATAGTACAGAGGATCTATCAGCCATTGACCGTAGCAGGTAAACCTCATTTCCTGGTATAAGAACTTCAGTGTACATCATAAAACCTAAATAACCTTAAGTTAGTGCTATAAAGTAGGAACAAAGGAGAGCATGCATTCAGTACTCTTAATCAGTAATTTGTAAGTTGCAAGTATTTGGGAAAAAATCATGTTAAAATTCAATATATAAAGACTGCAGTATCAGCAAGTGAATGTTAAGCCAAATATCAATTCCAAATATGAAACAATTTGATATCAAATATAGAAACACTTCTAATTTCAGGAAGAAAGACATCCATACCTCATAAACTCACTGTGGCCAAACCGATATCGAGCAATGGTGCTAAGAGCATTGTGTCCAAAATCAGTTGCATTGTACATAGAATCCTCCATATCAATCACTTCAAGTGTAGAAATAAACGGACTTGATGCAGTCTTATTGTTCCTTGCTAAGCAAATTGTTATAGCCCTCTTCGCAGCCTGAACAATTATCTCATAGTAAGAACTCAACCCCTTGGCATAGTTACTGCTAGTATCAACAGTGCTCCATTTAGTCCCGTCGATGATTTGATCAAAGATTGGGGGCTCCTTACCGCCATCAAAGGCACCATAGTAATATGTCGTTCGAACTAAATATCTCTTCCTTCTGACTAGCCTGCGAATCTCAAAGCAGGATTTTCTGGCAGAAGTATCCGGGAAATAGCGGACTGAAGAGAGCACGGGTATGATGCCCGGAGTTTTGATTTCAGAGACATTTCCGGTCTTTATGTAAACATTGTCAGGGACCCATTTGATGCCATTGATAGTTTCCTCCTTTGTAGAACCACAGTTGAGGTACAAACCTGCACATCTCAGTAAACCACATGAACAATTTTTAGCATAAACTGGTTAATTCAATAATTTGCGTGCACACAATTTTGCCTGCATTGCAGTTTTATTTACTGTATTTCTTCATAGTCATAGCTTCTAACATAGAGAATGTATTAGGGTGAAATTAGACAGCATTTTCTTGCAAAAGAATTATACATCGTATTGTTCATCATTAGCAAGAAATTAAATTTGCCATGAGTAGAAATATTTGCATATTTAAGAAAGAGGATTGATTACCTTTAGGTGCAGCGTAGAGAGAGGGAACGAAAGCGAAGACGCATAAGAGAAGGATAGAGATGGGCATTGTTCATGCGATGGCGAAGAAGTAATGGATTGAGGAGGAGCTCCAAGGAGGGAGGCCCCAAACCAGCCAATGTCAAGGTTATGGTTTTTGTTTATTTTGTTGAGAGAGAAGCTTGTGAACGTTGGAGAGCGATTGTTGGAAGCTGGAGGCCTAAACATAGGTTGGGTTGACCAAGACAATTTTGATCTTTTTGTTTCACCAGGTCCATCCCTCATATTGCACAGGGATTTCCCAGTTGTAAAATCTATCCTACTGGCAGATTTACTCTCCAAGCACGCGTATTTGCTAATTTACCCTATTATGAAATTATTGACGTTAAATTTAAATGCTAAAAGTTCAATATGGGTGAATGTTGGGTATATTAACAAGTACGCAGATTCGGAGTATAACAAAAATGCAATGAGAGGAACTTTTTAAAAAGGGTTAAATTGCACATAGGGCTCTTGAATATCGCGATTTGGAACTGATTTATGCTTATAGTCTGATTTGAACCCCTTAGATTATTTTTTGACTCTTAATTTTATTTCCAGATAGATTCGCTAATATTATCCACGGGTAATATCCGCAGAATTTCACTCAGCAAAAAAAATTAAAAATTTTCATATGTCTGCAAAATCTAGCTACAACCAAGGCGCAATACTACAGGGGGGATCTATGTACAACTAACCTTAATAGTACGGATATTAATAACTTTGACTCTCCCCTACGAGTAAAAAAGAAGATATCAAAGATGTCAATGCTGAACATACTTAGCCCACAGAAGAAAAAGGGCGCTTGTTACGCGCATGTGGATAAACAGAGGAAATTTCCATAAAGTTTGCTTCGAGATTATAGTGATTTATAAGTATAGAGATACATTTAAGTAAGAACTTGAAAGAGAACACACGTCACTGTTTACTGAAAAAAAAAGATATATGCTAAAAACATTCTAAAATTTCATTTCTTCTTTGCTTCGAGCTCATGAGAGACAATAACATCACTAGTGAGAAGCAACACTAACATGCTCGTCATCACACTCAATCCATCATTTTCCAACCCAATTTCTTGTTTATTCAAGCCCAACAGAAACAACTACTCTACTAGTGAGAAGCAAAACTCATGAGCTCCTCATCAGACTCCAGAGCCTCCATCACCTCCGTCAGGAGATGAACCTCCAACTCCACACTACCCCGTTCGCCTTGAACGTGGAGCCATTCCTTAAACCCACTGGCTTCCCCCACCCAAAATCACACTCATATACTCCAAACCTCGGTGAACTATTCATCGACACATTCGACATGCTCAACTTAGAGGGATTCAAAATCACTGGCTCTTCCATCCACTTCGCAGTTGTACTTCGGATCTCTTTATCATCGTGAGCTGCCACTCCCTGGTTCAACAACTGCGCAGCCCATCCGATATCATTCTTCAAAAGATCTCCAGCAGTTGTGGTGACACATATTTTGGTAACAAAGTTGCCGAAGTATTCTGCGCTCAACGGTGGTCTGAGCTTCAGTCGAGCGTCCGATGTGAGCCTAAATGTCGTTGTTTCATCAGGCTGAAGAGTTCGTGCGCGGGTTATCGACCGCCACAGGAGAGAGCACAGGGCTTGGAAAGATGAGATTGAGCTGGTGGTTTCCGGTTGATCGTTGGCAGTCGATTTTAGTTGGGCGATGGAGTTGGATGAGAAATGAAAGGATCGGGTTCTGAGATTGGAGGGAGGTTTGTATTTGTAGATGAATTGGTCGGGGTTGTTGAAGGGTAGTTTGATGGGAGGGGATATGTTGTTGATGAAGAAACGCTCGGTAATTGGTGGGTGAGTTACGGTGAAATCTTGATCAAATTCGCTTCTGAGAGTTTTTCGGGATATTTCGGCCCATGATTGGAAGAAGTGCCAGAAAGAACTTCCATCGGCGATGGCGTGGTTCATGGAGCAAGCAATGAATACGCCATCAGCTAGCTCGGTCACCTGCGCAGAGCGTGATACTTGAGTTAGCCACACGGCAGAAAATCTGACCACAGATTGATGATTAAAAGAACGAAAAACTAGAGAAACCATCGACATGTAAACTTGGTGTAAACAAGGCTCCATGAACAACAACTTGGATGGCTAGCTATAGGATAATTTCATATGTTTCATAATCAACAACATGTAAACTGGGCGGACCAAATATGCTTCTAAAATATCTATATTGGGATATATAAGAAAAAAACCAGATATTTGGAAAACACTTCTGTACCTGCAGTGCAAGAAGAGGCAGTGAGTGGCCATCATAGTTAACAGTTCCATAGTAAGGAAATAAAGACGGGATGAAGGAAGGAACGTCTGCATTGATTGCGAGAACATCTCGGACAGTTATATTGTCAGCAACGGCCCTTATGAATTCTGCACCTCCTTTGTTATTGCAGTACTCTATCGACACTGTCAACCCATCGTCATCCTTTTCAGTGACGAGGCGGCCTGCCAAGAGATAGAAATGGAAGAGAACTGCAGAGAGCGAGGCTTTGAGGCAATCGGCAACCTGATCCATGGTGTTGGAAGGTGGAGGATTGGTGAAGAGAAGACCGGTTTCAATGTAGTTGAGGGAGATCATAGTGAGATCCCATGGCGTTAGGTTGCAACGCTCGGTTCCCTCAACTTTTGGTAGGGGAGAGGGTTTAACAATGGCCGTAGATATTTGATGAGCAACTTTCGACGGTGAAGCCATTGCCTGTCAAAAAAAATTTATGTGACCGCCAGCATCAACAAAATATAATACATCACTCTGGAGTTTTCCAAATCTTCTCTTTTTGCATATTACTAAAGAGAAGAAAGTGTTTATATATATGTTAAAAGACAGAAACTTCAGGCATTAATATTGTACTTAGCGTACAAGGTGTTAGAATTTGCTAAAACTAAAAAGAGTTTTAGCAGGCTAAACTTCATCAGTCGAGCTAAACATGAACTTATATACAAATGTCTCAACTGGTTGAAAGATTCTTACCTTCTAGCGTACGTCTCGGAGAGAGAGGAGAGTAGATGAGAGTGACACTAGAACTGAGAGAGACGGATAGAGACACTTAGAGCTACTCTATAATAAATAAGAGGAAAGAGAGAGAGAGAGAGAGAGAGAGAGAGAGAGAGAGAGAGAGAGAGAGGTGAAAGAGAGAGAGAGAGAGAGAGAGAGAGAGAGAGAGAGAGAGAGAGAGGTACGTTTTCAAACAGATGAGAAGATAAAATAACAAAAACAAATAACTCAGTTTTGTTTCTAGTACCCCAAGGCAAGTCAATTAATTGAGTGGCTATAATGATCTTGTTAGGGTCAACAAATCGAGCGCATTAATTACTTGGTCCCAAGAGGGCGATCGAGTTAATGGATCCAATCGTTTACTTTTTGTTTTTTGTTTTTTTTTTCTTTTTTGGGGGGAGGAGGAGGGAAAAAAAAAAAATCAAATCTTCAACATGGTGTAGTCAGTCCTTCAGGCTTATATAATAAGTAAATATGTTATCCGATGGCAATGAACTGATGTACATGCATCGTGGGTACTACTGCGGCTCCGTGTTATGTGGATCATGACTGCATTCTGGAGTAAAATACTCATACGCAAGCAAATCTATTGCCACCATTTCCGTGACTCTTTCTCAACCAAACTAAAAGATTCCTTTGTATGTACGTGCTGCAAAATATGAGTACGTACGTATTCCATTAGAACTCCGTGCGCTGTGCGGGGCGTCCTGAGTCGTAGCATAGCGAAGAGGGAAGAGTACGTATTTTCTGTAATTACGGTGCCTAATGTCGTGCTTCAAATCGCCTCTCAGCGTGAGGGGTTTTGAAAGGCGTAGTACTCGTGAAATGTAGTGGGCGACTAATTTATTTGAAGGTCCGCATTGTTGTACTCGTCACAGACCTCTTCTAGTATAAGTTGGAATACGGGATCTCATAAAACTAGGGGTGGCAAACGGGTAGGGTCATAGTTGATCCGACCCGTATAAATGTTACCCGACCCGACCCGTTTATTAAACGGGTTACCCGACCCGATCCATATAACCTGAACGACACACCAAGAATCTCACCTCCATAACATTCTGCACCTACTAAACTTCCTACTAATCCTCATCAATTCATCTACAAACCTAACACAATAGTCCTTGAAGCCACAGCTATCTACAGTTTACTCGATTCCACAAACCACGAAACTAGGGTTCTCCCCACAAATCCAAACACAACAAATCACTATGCAACCCAAACAGATTTCACCTCATTAACCTCCTCCTGTGGCTCCTCCAACAAATCACTATGCAACCCAAACAGATTTCACCTCATTAACCTCCTGCTGTGGCTCCTGCGGTGGGGCAGCACCGCCAGCACGACCCCAAGGAAATGTCGGATCTTTAACAAAAAGAATCAATTATCGCACAAAATTTCTGTCCAAAAAAATGTTAAAAACTGAAAAAGTAAGGTAATTGAGTCTAATGTTTACCAAGCTCTTGATGTTGGTGACCATGAGCCCTCTCCGAGCCCTAAATCTCTCTAAAAGCGACTTTGGCCGAATCGATTTTTGTTAGTATCCTTGATATCTTTCACCAACGAACTAGAGCCCGACCTGCAGCTGAGAGAAGTCACGTGCCTGGGAGACGACGACAGAGCCAAAGGGAGAGAGCAG